TTAAATTTCATATAGACATCTGGCTTGGGTGTTAGATTTGCCTTTTCATTTGATGTTCAGAGACCTCTGCCCACACAAATTTTGTTTGCATGGCAATTTATGAAGTAGCTGTGTATTTTGCTTTTTCTATGAATACCAGTGTGGCTTCAGAGCAAGGTTACCAGTGTTTCTGTTACACAGTAGTGCCTGATCAGTGTTCAGGAGCTGAAAAGCTAATTTGGGAGTCAATATTGATGCAAGCCAGCTTTTATGTTTCTTCCATAAAATTAATTAATGGGATTTGTAATTAATGGGATTCGTCACCTGACACGGTGTCTACTCAGCCTCGACAGGGACTCCTGGTGCTTCCACCACTACCCTGCTTTTGACATACGGCAGGGTTGTGTCCCTTGAGGATGTTTTGACCCTCTTGGGGTCACCAGCATCCTGCCCTGGCCCTCCCATTGTAGCCTCCTTTTGCTCCCAGACATGATCTGTGTAACCATCCACTGAGCTGTGAAACAATGTGGGATAATGAGGATGTTAGGTGCAGACTTAACCATTAATGCTGTTCAGGCTTGTCTGACTCATTTGGATGCAGTAGGTTAGGGAAGGATCAATGCAGGTATTACCTTACATAGTAAAAATTTTCAGTAGCAGTGCAGTGACTTCTGCTTTCATATCCACATCTAGAACTGCCTGATTTTACCATCTGATTCAACAGATCAGAATATGCATTTTGTGCACCCAAAGCAAAACAGCATTTTAAAATTCCATCCTGAAAAGCAATCTCGGTAGAAAAGGTCTAGAAAATTATTTATTGCCTTAGGTTTAACAATGTGTATGGAAACCAATGGAAAATACATCTTGAATCACAGAAAGTCAACAAGCACAATGTTTCATCTTACTAGAAGGACACCATGACAGTTATTTTACTGTTAGTAGGTTATGTCACTATAACTTAAATGCTGACTACAAGCAAAATTGAGCCTGAGAAATTTACCGGAACTCAAATATTTGTACCAACCACAGTTATGTTGTCATTATTTGATGTCAGCTTTATCTCCTTTGGCTATCAAACTAGTTATCATTTAATGACATTAGGAAGAATATGTGAACAAATAGTTTACTCTTCCTTCATTGCAGGGTGTTTTATCAGTTTTGGTTATGGTAAAGGGGTAATTATTTGTTTTGATCTTCAGCCTTTGTGTATTGTGCATACTTCTGAATTTTTATTGTGTAGAACTTGTCTCTGATGAGGAGGTACAGATTTGAACAAATAAAAGTGTGACATATTTGCTAAAAGAAAAAAAATGTTGTTCAATGAAGTCATTAAGGAATGAGCCCAGGTTCTCTTGACCTGTCTCCAATTTTATTTTTTTTCTATCATTTGTTATGGAATTCAGTAACTCCATGTTGTTCTGATTGCCGTCACATAGAGATAAATTAAATGTAGGGTATTTATTTATTTATTTTTCTGCACAACTGATGTGCTGCAAAGAGGATGAAAGCTGATCATGTCTGCTAAACCATGTCCCTAATGGCAACATCTGCACCTTTCTTGAACACCTCCAGGTATGGTGACTCAACCACCTCCCTGAATATCCAATGCCTTACCACTTTCAGAGATGAATTTGTTCCTAATATCCAACATGAATCTTCCTAGCACAACTTGAAACCATTACCTCTTATTGCTAGTTATGTGGGAGAAGAAACTGACAGCCACCTCACCATAACCTCCTGTCAGGGAGTTAAAGAAGGTGATAATGTCTCCCCTGAGCCTCCTCTTCTCAAGACTAGGCAATCCCAGTTCTCTCAGCTGCTCCTTGTAAGACCTGTGCTCCAGACTGCTCACCAGCTTCATTGCTTTCCTCTGAACACGCTCCAGGGCCACACTGTCTTTCTTGTACTGAACACAGTACTTGAGGTGTAGTCTCAAATGCTAGTACAGGGGGACAATCACTTCCCCGACTCTGCTGTTTTTGATGCAAGCCAGGATGCTTGGCCTTCTTGGCTACCTAGGCACACTGCTGGCTCATGTTCAGCTGGCTGCTGACCCACGTCCTGAGATCCTTCCTTCTGTGCAGCTTTCCAACCACTCTGCCCTAAGCCTGTAGCATTTCCTGGGGTTCCTGTGGCCAAAGTGCAGGATCTGGGGCTTAGTCTTATTGACCTTCATCCCACTGGTCTCAGCCCATCTATCTAGCCAGTCCAGATTGCTCTATAGGGCCTTCCTTCTCCCAAGCAGATTGACACTTCCTCACAGCTTGGTGTCACTTGCATTCTTACTGAGGATGCACTCAATACTCTCATCCAGATCAATAAAGCCCCAGTACTGACCCCTACAGAACATATGACTATGATTCTGTGATTCTTTGATTCTTTGATTATTCCCCATCTGGATTTAAATCCATTTATCACCACTCTCTGGGCCCAGCTCCTCAGCCATTTTTTTACCCAGAAAAGACAACACCTGTCTACAGAATCACAGAATCACAGAATGGCCAGTTGGAAGGGCCCTCAAGGATCATGAATCTGCAACATCCCTGCCACATGCAGGGCCACTAACCTCCACATTTAATGCTAGACCAGGCTGCCCAGGGCCTCATCCAATCTGGCCTTGAACACTTCCAGTGACGGGGCATCCACAACCTCTCTGGGCACCTGTTCCAGAACCTCAGAGTTGCAAGAGCACACTGCTGGCTCATGTTAAGTTTTTCATCCATCAAGACCCCCAGGTCCTTCTCTGCAGGGCTGCTCTCAAGCACTGCTCCTTCCAGTCTGTATGGATGCCTGGGATTCCTCTGGCCCAAGTGCAAAACTCTGCACTTTGCTGTGTTGAATCTCATCAGGTTCACCCGGGCTCACCTTTCAAGCCTGTTGAGGTCCCTCTGAATGGCATCCCTTCCTTCCACTGTGTCAACCGCACCACTCAGCTTGGTGTCCTCAGCAAACTTGCTGAGGGTGCACTCGATTCCATCATCGATGTCACTGCTAAAGATGTTGAAGAGCACCGGTCCCAAGACAGACCCCTGGGTGACGCTGCTCATTACCAGTCTCCACCTGGACACAGAACCATTGATGACCACCCTCTGTCTGCAGCCTTTCAACCAGTTTCTTATCCAATTTGGAGATAAGGATGTGGGGGGGGACCATGTCAAAGGCCTTGCTCAAGTCCAGGTAAATGACATTGGTCGCCTTTCTCTTGTCCACTGATGCTGTCACTCCACCATAGAAGAGCACCAGATTGGTCAAGCATGACCTTCCCCTGGTGAAGCTGTGCTGGCGGTTTTGGATCACACACCCTATCCTCGTGTGATTAAGCATGTTATGCAGGATGATCTGTTCCACGATCTGAGCCATGAGCTGCCAGTTTCTCCAGGAGAGTACTGTGGGAGACAGTGCCAAAGTCTTTGCTGAAGTTGGGGCAGAGAATGTCCACAGCCTTTCCCTTATCTGCCAGGCAGGTCTCGTGGTCAAAGAAGGAGAGGAGGTTTGTCAAGCAGGACCTACCTTTCATGAGTCCATGCTTGCTAGACCTGATGCCCTGATTGTCCCACAATGCTATGTGATTGCACTCAAAATGATCTACTCCATAACATTCCCTAATACTGAGGTCAGGCTGATGGGCCTGTCATTTCCTGCATCATCCTTCTTGTACACAGGTGTCACACTAGCGAGTCTCCAGTCCTCTGGGACCTTCTCAGTTGACGAGGACTGCTGATAAATGATGGAAAGTGACTTGGCGAGCACTTCTGCTTGCTCCATATGTACTCGTGAGTAGATTTAATTGAGTCCCAGATGCTTGTGATAGGTGGAATAGCAGGTCACTGTTTCCTCCTGAATTATGGAGGTTTATTCTGCTCCCCATCTCTGTCTTCCATGTCAGGGATCTGAGTACTCTGAGGGTAACTGATCTGACTATTAAAGGCAGAAGCAAAAAAAGGCATTGAGTACCTCAGCCTTTTCCTCATCCTTTGTGGTAATGTTCTCTGCCACATGCAATAAAGAATGGAGATTCTTCTTGGCCTTCTTTTGTCGTTTATGTGTGTAGGTTGCTCCAAAAGTAGTTCCTCCCATTTATTTCTGTGGAAACTACACGGCAACAAAGTGTAAGAAAATATTGGTCAGAAGGTTCAGCCTCTACTGCCATACACCAATATTTACCTCTGACATTGTTGATCAACATAATAGAATAGTAGGCATTACTTTCAGAGCAGCCTTCATATTTGTGAAAACATTTTTTGTTATTTTTCACAAGAGTGGCCAGCTTATGTTCTAGCTGGGTTTTTGCCTTCTAATTTCCTCTTTGCAACATCTTTGTACTATCTCGAAGTTGCCTGTCCTTTCTTCCAAAGATGATACTTGTAATACATTATTTCTAATTTTTATTTCCAAGCCTGACTTGTGTCTCATTAATAAAATGTTTGCTTTGTCTAATCATAAAAGCTGCCTAGTGCTGTAAGTCCACGGTGACTCAGGGTAAATCTGTTACTGCATACTTGGTATGGTATATGCATACTGAGAGAAGCAAAAAATCTTAAGGGAATTTCTACATCCAGTGACGCAAACATAAACCAACAGATATATCAGTGTCAAGTTCCATTTGCTGTATTTTAAATGTGTTTTAGGACGCTTTTTTTTTTTTTTTTTTTTTTTTTTTGTAAAGATATGCAATCTAAATAATTGTCTATGACAAAGGTTGTTTTTCATAAGAAATAACCATTCGTATGCGGTCTTCCATATGCAACACTGTTAAAGTGTCGACCTGCATACAGTGTCAGAGTTTCTCCATGCGAACACCACGCAACATCTGTGTCTACCAGTGCACTTTAACATTTAAACATTGCTGTTAGTCATAGATGAGTACATTGCAGGATTTTTAATTTTTTTTTTTCCTGTATTAAGAAGATGAACAATTTCTTCCATTCTTTTGACCCTAGCATGCAAAACCTAAGTAGTAAACTAAACATTCATGAAAGATTAATTACTTAGGAAATTAGTATCTTCTTATATTTCAGTCGGTGAAACTTCAGCACCAACTGTGCAGTGACAGACGGGACAAAGTTGATGTGGATAACACTTTATAACAGACCGCTCAACCTTCAGACAATCTCCTATACTGGTGGCAACTGGAGCAGCCCTGTGAAATACAGTCACAATGCCTAAAAATGAAAAGCCAGCCACCAATGAAGGAAATGGTAATTACAGCTATGATTATATATATGAAGTGTATACTCTTTTTCTGTATGTAGCTCAACAATGTGAAAATTTTGTTTTCTTCTTGTTTCTTTTGATGCAAATTTGCTTTTATCATAATTCTTCATCTTTTGTTCAAATGTGTGCTTTACTTCCCCTTTGAAGACAGTTTTGCAAGTTGGTTAGCTGTGGGAAGGCAGTCGCTCTCCACTAGTTAGTAAATGAAAAGATTCAACCACAGTCCAGTTACTTGTTATACATTTATATGCAGTTGGATGGAAAGATAGAGGAAATTAGGGTATTGTGTGGCTTCTGTAAGATACATAAGTGCAATCGCCCTTTCGTTCATTCCTTTCAACATTTAGTTTAAAATCAAGCACATACTTTATAGTAAGATAAAACATTAACAATAATTCTGGACTGATACTGGAATGATCTGGATACAAGAAACATTTTTGTATGATTACAATGGTGTGATTTTTTTCTGACAAATTGCAAAGCATCTTGTTAATGTGGGAAGTGTTTTAATTTTCATGGACAACAACATTCATTTAAAGAAAGGATCAAGAATATTGATCTTTTTTAAATATAAGGTTGGCATGACGTTCAGAATGGCAGAACATGAATGAATTCATTCTTGCTAGGTCTTGCTAAATACCAGGGCTGACGCTATGTAAAAGTGTTTTTTGTTTTTGTTTTTTTTCTTTTTAATCTACACCCATAATATGAAACAGGAGTAAAATAAGATATGCTTCTGTAGAAAAATTCAGAAAGGACTTAGAATTTTATCAGAATATAACCCATAGTACAGTTAGTGGTGATATTTTTTTTCCTCCTATATGAGCATCTTCATTTTTTTTCCCTTTTTTTTTTCACAAATACTGATACTGACATTTTCTAAGCAGTACTTGCTAACTGAACTCCTTTTAACGAGGAAGAAAAACAGAATTTAGTGTAATATAGGCAAAATATTTATCAGCCTAAGTAAAATTTTTCTTCTTGCTTGAACATAGGCTGTATTTTTCATATAAATTCATGTTTTATATAGACTCATGATAACAATGCAATGAATAAGTTAAGTAAATCACATTTCAGAGCCTAAAGAGTTCAGATCAGTATCATTTACTGTCATTTCACATGTACGAGGCACTGTACATTTAATATTCTTATCCCAGTACTTGAAGTAAAGTCTTCAGTGAAAACAATGAAAACTTGCCCAGAGTCAATCCAAGGAGGGAAACGGAAGTGAATCCGCAGAGATGGTGGCTTGGAAAACTTTATCTGTGCTCTCATGAAGGGGGTGATTTTTTGAGGAGTTCTTTGAATTATCTACTTCCCCTGCCTTCTGTGAGAAACAATTCTAACACTTTGAAGTACTTAAGTACAGCTCAAAAGGAAAATGGAAAAGCAGACCGTAGTCAGATGGACTATCTACTGCCAGCTTTCCATTCCCATTTAATCTATGCTACCTCATTCTGTTGTTTTAGCAGAACATTTAGAAGACATTCATCATTTTTCCTTACCAGTGGAAAATCAACAAGCAATTCATGGATGTAAATCAAAATAAAATGATTTGTTTCCTATAGTTCCCATCTGTAATTTTCAAATGTTGACTGGGCTAAAACTAGTTGTAGGCAACTTTACCAGACTACTGGTGTCTTCCTCACTTGGTACTACAAATATTCTGTCTACTTTTTATCTATATATATCTATATATATATTTATATCTGCCATTCTGATCTATATCATTGGTAGTTTAGATGCAGAAAAATAAACAGTATATTTGCTTGTGTGACTGAATATGAATTATTGTTTTACTGAATAAATTCAGAGCTACTGCCAACAGGATATTTTTTCAGACAGTAACTTTTATTTTAATCCATAGGAAGAAAATACATAACTCTATATGTGAAAAGCATAAAAATTCAGGCATGGTCTCAAGTATTAAGTGTTCTAGTAATTCTAGAATTGCAATTCTTATTCGTAAGGCCTGTGTTTCAATTCATATTTTAGTTATAAAAAAATCTGGGATACTTTGAAAGGCAGTATTCTATGAAGGTTTGCTTTTCATTGCTATGACTATGAAATTATCTTTCCTTCTTAAACAGAGCTGCTGGAAAGCTAAGAGGTAAATGAATTCTGAAACACTAAAGGTCAGAAAAAATTTCAACAATAGGTTTTGGCTTCTGCTTATATAGGACACTTCATACAAGATGTAAAGCTGGCTTGCTATTAGTAGAGTTCAGAATAGGATTCTCTCTCCTGTGTTTCTGAAGCCATTCTCAGATTTTAAACTTAGCACTTACCAATATGTGGCATATATTTATTATCTCATTTGCCTCCATGAATTAAAATATAAATGGAAGTCTTTGAGCTTTGGCAAAGATGTTTGAATCTCTAAATAACTTTGCATCTTCTAGTGGCAACTCTGTTGATTCTGTTATTTAATGAAATGTAATGAAGAAGACAAGAGGAATATGAATATATGCAATCTATCAAGTTCCAAGCAGATTCTTTATGTTTGCTTTTCGTAATTTGTTTAGCTCATGAGAATTCCTCATAATAACATTCTGAATCTAGATAATACAAAAATGCTTTTAGTTATGAAACATGGAAGTTATCTTGTTGGGGATAGAGATTGGAGAGAGAAACAATGTTTCACCTAGTTGTCAGAATCTAATTGCAGGAAATAGAAAGTCATTAAAAAGGCCTAAGGTTAAGCCATTTTGGAAAGATGCAAACAAGGTACTTGGCTGTCTCTACAATGTGTTTATTTGCTGTAGAACTGAGCAGAGAGCAATTCTGAACTATTGATCAGGTTCAAAGAAGCCATAAGTCTGGAAATAAAACTGCAATGTTAACTGTACATCAGATTCCTGGTACAAATCCGAAAATAAAGTAGAAGAAGCATGATATTCGTGATATTTTTTATACAAGAAATAAATAATCTGATGTATGCTTTTGGGCTTTGACATGTATTCTTTTTTCTTGTTGTTTCTTTGTTTATTTGTTTTTTTTTGTTTTCTTTTTTTTTTCAATCAATGTAGTACACAATAACATGCTGTGCTTCCCTATCTGTGACGTGGACAACGACAGATATAAATTATATGTAATTGAATTTGGAATACATTGATTGATACTTATAAAACTCTTCTGTTTCTCCCAGTCTTTCTAGATTGCTCCAGAGAAAAGTTTCACATGCTAACTGTTAGGTTTTCAGTATTGGTGCTGTTGTAATTTGTTAGAATTCATCATTTCCGAGTTCTGTTACTCCATCAAATCTGAATCTTGTTTTAGACTTTGATAAGATGCTGTAGTATTAAAAAAAAAAAAAAAAAAAAAAAAAAAGAAAAAAAATAAAAAAAAAAGAAGTATTTTCAAGAATATTTATCAGGTTAGTCAAATACTTTTTTTTTTTTTTTTTAAATATGGCACAAGAGATACACAGAAGCTCAAAAAAAAAAAAAAAATAAAAAAAATTGCATATTATCAGCCTTGGACATACTGAGAGACTTGGGCTCTGTATTCCCAGGCAATTAGTTCATTATTGTCGAACCTCAGCTCTCTCGTCAATAACTTTTTATCCAAATCACAGTAGAAATTTGTTGGTCTTCTTTAACTCCAGTTGGCTGTGCAACTTTTATCTACCTGATGTTTCAAGTGTGGGACTGGACTGTTATTAAAATATAAAGCTTCCAAGGGTCTAAACTTTTGCTGAAAGGTGTACTTGGGAATGTATGAAAAACTTATGTGATGACGTGAGGTGTGGAATAAAAGGATGAAACAAATACATTCAGTCTCTTTTTACTATGTTTTTAAATGCTAGAAATGGAACTGGATTTTTGGCCGAAGTTTATGGTGTTTAGCCAGGGGTATTCTACAGTTCACTGATGGGGACATCCTTTACTGGAGCGTGGAGTAAGACTTTATGTCAGGCTTTATAGTGCCTTGTACTTCAACCAAAGTCTGTTTCTTGCATTTTGGAATTACACTGAGAGCAAGAGCTCTCTAATATGAATACATCAAATCTTAGATAAGTGCACCAGTTCACTCTTCTGTAGACTTTCCTTGAGTTCTTGATTTTCCTTGAGCTCTTTATTATTTCTGGTGTGTTTTAGAGCTGTTACTTCTAGTGATATTTTTCCTCACAGAAGTATTGTGAGGAACTGCATTATTTACATGAAATAATATTATGGAAATTATGTAAATTCTAAGAATTGAATTTTATACAGATGTTCCCATTCTTTTTGTTTGAAATTTCACAAGAGTTTGTTGTCCCTCATGGCTTCTATTTCTGCTTTTTGGTCACCCAGTTTATTAGCTGTCTATCTTTCTGTCACTGGAAAAAATCCAGCTTGGTTTTGCTGAGAGGAAGATACAATAATAATTGCTTGCAAGACACTATCTGCATATGATTCATTTAATTGGCTTAACAATTAATTAATAAATGTACACCTATTTTATGACTTAAAAAATAGGCAAAGAATCTGATAGCATTTTTAGGTTCATATGCAGGTCTCCACTGATGTTTTTTCAAGGCATGGATACTCCAGAATTGCTTAGCAGCAGCTGGTATTACACAGTACCATTTTAAGCAGTAATATTACAATAGCAGGCAATGTTTTATGGAGTAGTTCCAAGAATCATTATCACTTCCATAATGAGAAATTAAGGCAACCTTGTGGCATAAAAAAAAGGTTAATAGAAAAGCATGAAATCTGGCAGATGTCCTCTGGTAATGAAATGCAAAGGATTTGAGAAGATAAGAATAAAACATTTCCTCACTATGCTAGTTGGCCACTTCACAACAAAGACTCCTATGGTTTTATAGATTATATTCTGCCCTTAATTTCCTTGCCAGCCAGCACTCTATGCTCTCTCCTAAACTCTCTTCTGAGATTAACGTTCTGTCTCTGACATGTATATTATTTTGAATTGAGATTCAGTACACTCTCTAGCTGTCTCATATCCAGCTATAGTTCAAAACATAAATAAGACTTGAAGAGATGTGATAACTTACTCAAATCAGACTTCTGTTGCCCTTAGTCTAGAATGAAGACAAACTTTCCCTCAGACTAGTAAGTAAAAGAAATCCGTAAGCAATTGGCTTTCCTTGAGCATAGGAAGTTATGGAATATAAATTCAAATATGCCTGATATTAAACCCATTTAATGAGGGTTGGATGCAGTATCCTAGAAGATTTGACAGCTGAGCAGTAGTTTGCTCTGATTTCTTATAAATTCAAGTTATCTGACTCAAACTGCAATTACCTGACATGAGCTTTATGAGAGCTACAACTGTAAAGAAATGAGGTCCACTTTTCTGGAACCTCGTGTAATTCTAGATATTGCTGTAGCATGTAGGCAGCTTGCTGTCTGTCAACACTTTGATGAACTTTTGATAAGTAAGATGCCATGTGGATACGTTTAAAAAAGTAGAAGACAAGCTGTACACCTAGAAGGATCCTACACAGTGATGATTTTGTTTCTGCATCTAAGACTCTACATTCCTACTTTAATTAGAGCATTTTTGATGCTCTTTGTTTTTCCTACAGAATGGTAATACTATACTGAATTGCAGGTTTTCAGAGATTGCTGCAATATGAGTGCAGGGTTGGATAGCTGTGCAGCTTATATGAATGCGTGCATACATGCTATTCAAGACAGACCTGAGGGATAGCAAAGAATATTTGCCCCTTTCCTTAATGAGTTTTGTTCTCTTGAACTTCTAGTTCTACTCTGAGCTTTAGCTTTTCTTGTCACACAGTTCATGATGTACAGTGCAATACAGAGTTTTGTCTGAATTCTGCCTTTTAAAAATAAATTCTGTGCAATGCTTCAGGCATCAACCCCACAACCTGGAAGAGAGCTCTCATTCTGTATATACAGCAGAAAGAGAGTGATATCTGAACATTTCACCAAAATCTTTGTAGCTGAGTGCAGCACAGGGAACATTTAAGTGCTTTCTGTGTGAATCATAGCAATGTGCATACCATTGAGCCTCAGGAGAACTGACAATAGTTGTCTGCTTATCATAAAAGGAATAGGAGGCTCTTTTGTTATGCTTTGTTTTGTTTTCAGTGTAAGCTCAGAAACAAATTATGTTTTGTATCTGTAGGTGAGCATGGGTCTGTGGAGACAGGAATGTTCTGAAGTTTGGAGACAAAATAATTTTTTGCAGAAATCATTTTTTAAAATGGACTTTGGATGCTTCTTTGGATGCCTGTAGCACTCTCTACTCTTTTAGCCACATGATTCTCTATTATCATTGGTTGTTTTTTTCTAGACTCATTTTGTGGAAACAGCCACTCTCATTTGATTTCATGTTTTGTTCTTTTTTCTTTCTTTCTTTCTTTTTTTTTTTTTTTCATCATTCTGTGAAAACTTGTTATTATTTGTGTGTCTGTGAACTTTTATGAAAAAAAGATTTAAGCACACAGGCCTCACTATTCACATACGCTCCCTTACAACAGCATGCTTGGTACTTTCTTTAAGAATCGATTAGTTTCACATTTAATTTTTCCTGAAATACTTGATTCAGACTATCACATTTTTTGCCCTTATGATAAAATTAATTGAAGAAAATTAATTAAAGATTTAAAAATAAATTGAAGTTCAACATCTACACTGGGCTGTATTTAGTCCTGTATTACATAGTTCATAGTTAATTTCAATATTATGTTAATTGCAGCCTGGCACACTTTCACCAGTAATGCACGTTTCAGTGTGCATGATAAATCTCCATCTGACTGCTTGTTGTACGTACTCTGGGGAATCTCCACTGAGGCCAGTCTTGTATCTTTAAGTGCTTCCCTGGGAATCTCTTTTTGGCTAGTGAAGATCAGTGAAAGCATTAGCTGCAAATAAAAAACCATGCCCTATTGTGGCATGCAGAGTATATCTTTAGAAGTGCCTGTTGTCATCTTTGCAGACTTTCAATAGCAACGTAATGATCTTTGTCTAATGGAGATCTAGTTACTGTCAGCAACAGAAGGCATATGTCCAGAGAGAACAAAGGAGCGCTTATTTTCACATTCCACTGATGATATTATGATAACATTTTTTGCATTGTCTTAAAAAGAATATTGTGCAGGTGCTGTTGACTTGATAGCAATTGTAATTACAATAAAATGTTTTGTGAAGGGAACTTAAGCTCTCTTCATCAGTCCTAGTTTTAAAATGCCAGTCAAATTCTGTGTGGTAATACTTTGCATGTTACTGTACAGAGTAAAACAATACCCTGGATTCTTTCTTGTTTTCAGTCTTGCATATTTTAATATTTTCTTTGATACTAGATAGAACTAAGAAGTTGATCCTGACAGTTAGCTGTAACAATTCCTAGATAAATGTTTGTTCATAATTTTTCAGTTAGTCTCTGTGGCTTCATAAAATCTATGAAAGTAACTAGAGAATGGGTGGAGAAAGACAGAATGTAAAGAAGAGTCCAAAAGATTTATGCATGAGTGAAGAAGGAAAATAATTATACTCTGCTCTGGTCTGAAAACTGTAACACAGAGATCACAACATGCCACATATCCTGTCTGTAGGAGGGATGGCATACTTGTATATATCAAGCATATACATCTGAACATACATGCTGTGTTGGAGCCTAATGACAACTGTCTACTTCAATTCAAGGCACTATTTCTTAGTCATTGATCTCTCACTGCCATGTACCTCTACATATTCCACTGGCATGTCATTCCACATCTACAAACTCAAACAAGGATACCTGAAGAAAACCTTTCAGCTCCTGTTTTTTCAGGTATTAGTTAGACTGTTTCTGAAGGTACATTGCCAGTGAACTACCAGTTTTAGTAGTGACATGATATGTAATATGTAGTGTTATGATATGAATATGCAGTATAATGATGGATATAATGGACATGATAGAGAATAGTCTTTTTCTTCTCCGTAAATATATGATTCTGGTCTCAGAATGTAGAATAAAGATGAACTGGATACTGTCTTGGATACTGATAAACAGCAGAAGCAACCTCTCTTGTTGAACTTACTGAGACCAACAAACATAAACAATGGATCCACTCCAAAACAAGGATGTCTCTAGGCAGAAATACTACTGGCTTCTGTAAATGGGCTCTCCCTCCAAAGTCTGCAAGGTTTCTGTCATCTCCTGAGGGACAGAAGAGGACCATTGTACAGAATACAACAGAGCTGTGTCAACTTTTATCATGTGCTTAGAGATGTGGTTGCTGAAACTGAAGATCTGAGAGCAACTTTCTTCTTTCCTCTGGGATTGTGTTCTTCAGCAGTGCTACAGCTATAAAATTTCATGCTCTCCAGTCTGTCAAATCATTTAATGACTCTTTTAATCTTTAATCTCAGCCAGTGCTTATCTTTCACACATCTAAGAAAATCTGAGAATTGCTTGAGAATCATCTTCATCTTCCTTTATTTATTCCTTCAGTTACAGGGTGCTGCTGCTTACAGTGTTCCTTTTTTAGGGTCCTTCTGTCCTACGTATTTGCTCTGTAAGATTAAGATCTCTGTGCCATCACTTTCAATTTTACTTACTTTAGTGCTCAAAGAAGATAAAAGTTTTTTTATTTCTGTTTTCATCTGATTTCTTGAAAGCTGTTCTCCTTGTTCAAATAGCTGGATTTGTGGAATGATGTAAGAGAGCACAATGTGGTAAATTTCTTAAACACCCTGCGTTCCTACTGACTAATCCACACTTCACATGCACTGGCTTTTGTTTTCTAATTACAGATGCCAGTGAGGTCGACAATGAAGAAGACAGTGCAGCCGAGAATCAAGAAAATGACAGAGGAGCAGGTCAGTAGGTGTGGATAACTTTGAGGTCACGTTCAGTTACGTAAATGAAACAAGGAAGGAAGGTCTCTCTCTAACATACTAACTTCTCTCATATGTTCATTTCTGTCACAGATAAAGAGAGGAAGAGAGCAAAACCAAGAACCAGAAGGGGACATGGAAGAGGAAGAGTCAGGCATGGTGGTGAGGAGGATGGAGATGATGAAGATGGAACAAGGAGAGCTGGGCAACGCAGGCAAAGAAACCGGAGAGGACGGAGCCGAGCAGGTGGAAATGAGGGCAGTGATTCTGAGGGGGATCCTACAAAAGCCAGGAAGAACCAGGCAAATCAAAAATCAAAGGAAGATGGTGAAGAAGAGGAAGATGAAAAAGGGGGTAAGAGTGGGAAAGGCAAAAATGAGAAGAAACAGGACAAAAAGGCTGATAAGAAAGGGAAGAAAGAAAAGGCCAACAAGAAGAAAAAGGACAAAAAGAAATCAGGATCTGGGTAATTTTATATATACATATCTATATATATATAAATATAAAACAATTGTTGCCTTATGTAAAACCTGTTTTCATTTATAGCTGTGAAATGCCAAGAGTTGGCATGGCTCCTTGCCAAAGCTGAACAGGAGGTTTTATTTTCTTTTATTTTCTTCTGGAATGAGGAGATTCTGAGTGAAGTGGAAACTGTCCATAGAGCCAAATCCACTACAGTGAAATGTGGTCAAGGGCTGTCATGTGTCCAGGGTGGAACTTTTGAAAATGACCGTACAGACATTTCTGACACCACCAATGTTCTGACATTAGAGACAAATCTCATAAATCTGAACAGAAACTTCAGCTAGGGTCTCCCTTACTGTAGTTAAGTGTCTCACATTCTTGAGCTGTTCTCTGGAGTGACAGAGGAAGGAACAAGTGACAGAATGATAGTGAGTGAGATCTCCTACTTTTTTCCTAAGCAACCAAACAACCAAAACCAAATAAAAAGCCAGAACCAATCACTGTCCAGAATTCCAGGATCTAGTTCTGTGTCCAGTGCAGAATCAAATTCTTGACACTTTCCAAAAGTTCAAGGTCTTATTTCCTATCCAGCCTTGAACGAGCTTTTTTTGTAACAGATGAAAACTTTAAGAGTTCAGAATCAAGCACGGAGACAAAATTTTCCAAAGTTTGTACCACTTAACTCCCACTGAAAATTTCCTTTTCCAGTGCATTTAGTGCAACCTGGGGTCTTTGGAAAATTGCTCTGACGTAGAACACTTCTGAAAACTCTTTTTATTCTTCTTCTGTCATCCTGGTTTTCCTTGGCAGCATGCCCGTTTTCATGATATTTTAAGGAAACAGTCCCTGAGAACAGTGTACGAAAGAGCTAATGGAGCTCAGCATGCTCATCTCAGTGGAGAGGAACAGGAATCTTCTTTCCTCTATTCAGCACTTGCTACAGCTGTTTATGTTCCCAAAGGCAGCACTACGCAGCACAGCAGGAGTCAGATGGAAAAGAAAATACGATGAGATATGCTGCTGCATTAATTTGTTCATGATCCCATTTCAGTACACTTCTAGTTCACTTCCTTTCCCTAAATGAATATCTAAAATCTTCCTTTGTGCTGGCTTATTTCTGTGGTGCCGATTGTTCCCCACTATGCAATTTCCTATACTCATATAAGCAACAGGCCTGAATCTGCCAACGCTTGTTCCTTTGCTTATTGCTGTTGTCATCCCTTGCAAGCATTTGAGTGTTAATTTTTTAAAAAAGCCACTTAAAATATAAATTTAAATGAAGGCATAATGTTTTTAATTGTATTACAAAACTCTGAACATTAAAATACACATGTTTAGTCTGAAGAAATTCAGTTTCTATCCAGATCAGCATGTTGTTTCTGAAAGTTGACAGCACATTTGAAGAAAATCTGATGATGCTCTGGAAGATACTTGAAGAACATTATATTCTTATACATTTAGAGCACCATCCAACAAGATTATGTGATAGTAAATGCAAGAATATTTAAAAGGATTTTCAACAGGAAAAAAAAAACAGCAAAGGGAAAAATGATGGTGATCTGTTCAACTGTTGTTTATGTGAATGATTTGCATATCTTAGAACAGGAGAGAGTGATGTGAGCACAGAAGTGTAGCCCATCTAACAAGTCTGTGAGGACCTACCGTAGTAAAAGCTAAATATTCTTTGATAGTATCTCATAGACTCATATAAATTTGAGTTGGAAGGGACCTTTAAAGGTCAGCTAGTTCAACTACCTTGCAATGAACAAAATCTGAAGAGTGCTCAGAGCTCTGTCCAGCCTGACCTTGAATTTCTCCAGTATATGGCAGCCACCACCTCTCTGAGCAAACTATTTCAGTGCCTCACCACTTTTACTGATGTGCCTTTTTTAATAGCCAAAAGTAGAGACAAAACGAAACAAATCAAAAGTAAAATTAATATAGAGAATAGAGAAGATGTGGTATAATCCCACAGGGGAATATTGTATTTGTTAATGTTTCTGTGGATTTTGTAGTCCACAAACAATTAACAGTTACTTTTTGGCTAAATATCAGAAGTCAGTAGATTCTGCTTTGCTTACTATTTTCCTACATCCTGCTTTTCACCTTAATTAGAAATAACTCTTTATAAACTAATCATTCTGCTTAAAGAAATCCTAGATGAACTTTGTGCTCATACATGTTCTAAATCTTTTTTTCTTTTTTTTCAACCTGCTTGAAGTTTTGATCGTCCTATAGTGAGTTTCATAAGGTAATTCTATGGCAATTCTATGGAAGCTGTTTCTCGATCACTTTAGTGATTGGTATCTCTTAGTGGGGTGTGAGAAGGACCTCTCTATATCATCCCCAAAATATTTTGACAAATTACTCCATATGAGGATTACTCCTTGTGAGGATCTGTGATATTTCTTGATTTCTGTCATACACCTTGGTTCAAAAGCTAGATTTTTGTTCCTTACTGACTTGTTTAATTGTCTACAATAGCTAGTGCACCTGGTAGTAACTGTCTGTTGAAGCTACAAGTAGAAAAGGAATATTATATTCTTCTTAGTCTGTGCATTTCTTTTTTTACTCTGAGCAAATCAATCAGAGTTTAGTTGAATTATTGGAAGATACAGAGCTTTTTCAGGAGTCCAGAGGTACATAGAATTTTAAGGCAGTACTGGCACGGCATCTTCTTTATGCTAGGAAGTGCCAGGGGGTGTTATGGGGATTATCATTGAGCAGTAGAATTTTCTCACACACACAGACAAGAAAAAAGTAGTCAAATTTATTCAGTTACCACTCCAGAGTCCTACTGCTCTTTTCCCTGAAAATACCCAAGCTCTTAGAAGATATTTTCACTTCTATAAAATAGCGTTTACAGCAAGCATAATAAATATAATTTAAATCTGTATTAAAGAGATAAGACTAAAACCAGAACACAGATGAATATTACAGACAGGTTCATCAAGTATATAGTTTAAATCAGTGTCATCGATTTCAAAAGCTTTAAAGACTTAAGAAAAGATGCACTGTGTATATTGAATTGAAGTCAAGGAAAACAAAGGTTATTTTGGAATTATTGAGCAATCCTTTCTGCTCTGTGTTAGCCTGAAGGTCATGGTGATCTCTTCTAGCCTTTAAATGTATGAAACACTGTCTTTCTTGAAAGACTGAGACTTTTGCTTGCTGAAGGCATAATTCTGATTTCCTGGGTTGAATCTTACAGTGTTCAACCACTGAATGAGTTGCAATTGCACAAAGTTTGGTTGTGTTTTGTAAAGACTCTTGAAAAACCCAGGTAAATAAAATCAATTAGATTTCTTAAAGATGGGTTAAAAAAATTGAATTTTGAATGTTTTTCTGGCTCTAAAGGAAAGTTAAAAATGGAAAATAAAGCAGTAGTGAGCAATTGGCAAAAGAACCATTAATAACTGCGCTTGTGTTCTGCACGGCTTTCTCTCTTCAGTAAGGTAACTACATTAACACCTGCCCACCATATTTCCCTCTACTCTCACTGCAGCCTTGTACATCTGTATATTTCAATTTTGCCTAACTCTACTATCTTCTTCTGTCAAAAGAAGTTCTCAGTACTGAGCATTGTATAATGCTAAACAGCTGATTGTAAAAAATAAGGATTTAAAACTTTTCCTAAAGGAGTCTTTTTTTCTTTATTTTTTCTCAAATCGCTTGTTTTTTCTTTTCTTTTTTTCTTTAAAATGCACTAGAATTGTATAATTCTTTGTATGTATACTTTTACTGACTTTATCCATTCGGCCTATTCACTTTTTCATCACAACGTTAGAACAGCCATATATATGTCTGTTCTCAAAATTCTTCAGAAGCATCTTGATATCTCTAGATTTATATTTTCTGTTGAGCTGCTTTTCATACCGTGAATCCTGAAATTTGAAGGCCAATTAATTCAACTTCTTAATGTTCGGTAAATGACATTTGAGTCATTAATGTTGCTTCATCTGATTACTCTGAGAGTCTCTCACCTCCGTTGATTTACTTTTGTATGCCTGCAGTTTTTAAATTATCTCCCTGCAGATTTTGATGTAATGTTGTCTATTTCATAATACCCTAAGGTAGATGAATAATGAGAAATTCACGTGTACACATTACCAAATATTTTTGCTTTTGTTTTGAAACTCCATAAATATCCTTGCTGCCAAACACTGCTAACGGAGAGAATGCATTCAGATACTTTCTTTAAATCACACTTATATCAGACTATGTCTTTGTCATCAGTGTGAGCAGAAGAAAAAGATCTTCAGGTTTCCAGAGGACTTAAAACTATTCTGTTATTTGGCTTACATAGTGAGTCAGCTCTGACACTGGATTTTGAATGTCACAGAAGATTGATTCTGAGACTTGATAAAGTTTGAATTACTGCTAACAAAACAAAACAGAAAACTTATTTTTTAAAGTAGTATATTTCAAAATTTTCAAAACATTAAAGAAAAGCAAAGACAACAGAAAATAGAAACGCATCAATTTTTTTTTCTAAGAGCTCAGTTTATGGTAGTCATCACAGTGGGCAGGAAATCAAATTCTGGTGATTTCTTACTTATTAATTTCCTGTTTGATGACAGAAGAAGTCACATTTGTTGCTAGAGATGTGCTGTACGCCACTGCGTGTGATAAGGTTGCTCACAGAAAAGCAGACCCAGGTGGATTTCTGAATTTTTCCCATCTCTGAAAAATTACTGCTTTGATTAGTGGATGGGCTGCCAACTGGTGTTTAAACCTGTCTTCTCTCTTCTGAGGCACACAGAAGTGTGATGAAGAAGTTTATTTTTAATGGCACCAGTCCTCATTTGCAGAGTTGGTTTGGACTCCCAGAAAGGCTGGTTACTCCTGCAGGACGCATCCCCAGAGTGACTGCTGCTTTTCATGTGTAGTGTGACTGCTTGGGGTGTAATGCTGGTGAAGCACAATGCAGCCTTTGCATTGATGCTAAACAGTGAGTCTATTTTCTCTTCAGTGCAACAGAGAAAGTATTGTTCTAGGTCTTAGAATTTCTATGAATTTATACCATGTATATGCTCCATGAAAACTTATGTCCGTCCTAATTTTTTGTGATGTTTTTTGTTCACATTTTTGGCTGAAGCTCTGATTCTGACTCTGAGGAGGAGCCGATTACTGAGGAGGAATTGGCCAAACTGAAAGAAGAGGTAGAAGAAAAAAAGAAGCTAATCGCCACATTACGAAACAAGCCATGGAAGATGAAAAAGAAGTTGTCAGTTCTAAAGTATGGTTTGAATTTCATAATGTCTATCTGTCATCCTTCTTTGTATTATCTTTTGTTCTCTACATTTGCTAAGTTTATGTTGGCAATTGCTTCAAATAATAAGTTTAAGCTCTTCTTAAGGAAAAATGATGCAACTTAAGAAATAACACAGGGTAATTGCAGTGAGGAGAGAGGAATTTCCTTTTTATTCTAACTTTCTCTAGAGAAGAATACCTTTTTTGGAGTTACAGAAAAGGAAACATGAATGAAAATTGAACTTGATTTCTCATGCATTTTCAAGTTTGCCAGCAAGTATATCATTACATTTTCATCAGTGCAAAAATGTCAGTTAAATTTCAGTTAAATAATCAGTTATATTTTCACCAAACACAAGAAACTGGGTTAACAAATAGAACTTTATTCTCTTGCCAAAGCTGCTGTACTCCTCTGTTTTCAATAACTCATTCACTGCAGTACTCTCCAAACATCAGCAAAATGCATGGTTGTGTTGAATTAGGCACAAGTAACAGAATACCACAATACTCTTCTCCAGGCGGTTTCTGAGATGGTGAGAAAACATGAATCAGATGAAAGAGCATATGAGATGGGGTGTGGAAGTTCTGTGACTTTTTCTTTCTATAAAGTAAAATTACTCCGGGGGGAGACATTAACAAATGAACATAATGAAGGCATATTGTGAAAAAAGGATACATGGAACAAAGAAAAAGAACCGAGTGCCTAGGAGATGTAAAGTAGAAGCATTATGAAAATCAGGGAATTTCAGGAGAATTAGGTGACCAGATTATAGAATCAGACAACAGTTACTATATTTTGCATAGTCTTACTATGAAATGTTTTTTAGTTGGAGGAGTAATTCTAGTCACCCTCAGTGACTGAAAATTGACATAGCTTAAGAGTATTATGAGGTGGACTTTCCCCGTTACGCCAACAGCAAGTTTTCAAAATCTTGTTGTCTGCCCATGTAATGAGAATTATTTCTTTATTAATATTCAATGTGAATTTGGCTTTGTACATTCAACACGTTCAGTAATTCTACCCAAATGTCAACCATTTTAATCAACTTTTATATTATTATATTCATGAAATCTAGACTGGGAGACAAGGTCCGCATTCAGTTTTATTTGTCACCATCAGAAGGATTATTTTAATAAAAATTATTCATCAACAAACTTCTACAGGAGCTGTAAAACAATGTTTTTATTCTTCTGGATTTTGCTATAGCCCTCTCTGGTTTAGAAATTATTAGAGGCTTAGAAATTATTGGCACTTTATTTTGTTTGCCCCAGAAGAGAATGTTTTGCAAGAGAAAATGTCAGTTGTTCAGATTAGCTTTTTTCAGTCTACTCTTATTATCTTATTAATTATGAGCACATGTAATAACATTTTTTAGTATATTGATACATTTGTTTCAGATTTGTAGTCCCATCATCAATACCCTGATATATTGACGTTATTCTTATATGTATGGAAAATGGACAAAAACTGACTCTCTAAGTGCCTTAAATGAGTTTTGTATACTCCTATTCTATCAGTAGAAACTTTCGGTAAAGAAATATTTTTAGCTAGCATTTGGGGCTGTCACCTTGTTCTTTCCCTGTGTAGATTTTTGAGTACTATGGGATGCACAGGAAAAAAAATGTCCTATCTTCTTAATGGTAGAAGAACAGAATTCCTGATTCTTTGTCTTTCAGCTTCCACAGTAAAGAAACTCAGGTTTCTTCTCAACATTAAGGGAAAAGCCTTTATTGTCAGCCAAAAAATACTTCCTGCTTGCATTTTTTTAGTAGCCATTGTTTTCAAAGAATGAAAAAATAATGCTTGCTTAGAATGATATTTACGAGAATATAAAACAAGAAAATAGTTTTCAAAGTATTTTGAAAGAGAATTATGAAGATTACATATGAATTTTTGTTCTTTAAATATATATATATATTTAAGAAAAGTTAATTTTAAAAAAAAAACAATTTTGGGGGGGAATTGTTCAATTTCTACTCATTTGCCTCCTTTTAAAAAGTGATAGAAAATAAAAATTGTCAAAACTTTTTGTGTAAGTATTTCCAAGACTGAAGAATGAACAACTTGCTCAGTTTTCTGATTCAAATCCCAGCTTATTTTTCAAAAAAAAAAAAGTTATTTGTTTTTTTTTTAAAGAAATAAGCACTGGAATTAAATGTTCAGTGTTTTCCACAGTGGGGACACACATGAAGGCTACATTAATTTTTTTCTTCACTCTTTTTTCTAGAATTGTGTGAGTGGGGAATTAATTTTAGAACATGGAAGCAAAACTGGTAGCTTCAGTCAAAACCTGACTGTTACGCTCACTATTGAAATGGCATTCGTAATTGGGATGCAGTACACAATTAGACAGCTCTAATTTCCAGTTTGTATCCCTCAGCCTGGAAAGATGAATTTCAATGGCCCCTGTCTGTTCTCTGAAGAAATGTGACTGATGATAGCTCTCTACAGAAAAGTGTCCCTCTGAGGTTTGGAGTTGAGTTGTACCTGCACATTCTGACTCTAGCTGGATCTTCAAATATCATGTTTAGGTCTCAGTAAGTCTGATGACGAGAATAGAAGAGAGAAGATATGGAGAGGAATGAAAGGATGCTATGTGGCAAATAGCATTGCTTCTCTTGCCTAACCAGTAGGCATGGCTGAGAGCAGATGATGTAGTAGTCCTTGCTGTTGACAGCCTTCATGCAGCTGGAGCCCAAGCTTTTTTCTTATTTTATAGACAGATTTTGTCTTTCAAAAGAGTCTTTCTCATCTTCCTTTGTTTAGATTGACTATGAACTACACTGCTATTGAGCCTTTTCTGTAGGAGATTCATGAATCCATACATCATTCCTCTCAACATTGGCTATTCAGGACAGAAGAAAATTAGCTGAAAAGCCATTAGATTTCAACAACCATCAGCTTATTTATTGTTATTTATTATGCTGAGATTTAGACAGAGGGTGTTAAACTATTAGAAAGATTTTTTAATTAGTAAAAGGTACAAAAGATAAAACCAATGGGCCATAGCTTCTAGTGTTGCAATGAGTAAGGGAAGGCTATCCCAATTTACAGCTGAGGTTTTGATTTTGGGAACTTAATCATCCATCTATGCATTCTCCCTGTTGGGTATTGTTTGGCCTGGAAGAAATGGAATGTTCAAAAGCTGAGCTACTATGTTTGGAACTGGAGTACTCACTCCCCTCCTTAAAGCACATTGCACTTTGTGTAGACAAATGTTTGTGATGTAAATAGTAAACATTATTAATAGTTATGCAGCTTATGTATAGAAGTTTATTGAGATGCTTATAATATGGACAGAGAATTGCACACAAGAATCCAGAAATGTGCGATCAGTGACACCAGTTTAGAACTATACCAAAAAAACAATTAACAAAACAACAAAATAAGAAAAATTACAACCAGCTTTTGAAAGGTTTTGGCCTCTCAAAGAAATTCCAGTTAAATACAGACTATACAGAGAACTATGAGAACTTAGTTTTTTAAAATGAAAAGCATTCTTATTTTTATATACTGGGGACAGGTTATACTATGATGATAATTTTTCCTTCCTTCCTTCCTTCCTTCCTTCCTTCCTTCCTTCCTTCCTTCCTTCCTTCCTTCCTTCCTTCCTTCCTTCCTTCCTTCCTTCCTTCCTTCCTTCTTTTTGAAGCATTGTTTGTTTTATCCTAGAAGAACACATCAACATGGATAAAGTGAAAATAGAATATTTTTTAAGCATAGAAAACCCAAGGATATACATATGTATATCCATGCACCTCCTTATATATGTGTATCTATATATACAAACTTATAAATAAAGTTGCACTATATGTATCTTTGGATGGGCTATTTGCAGTCCAATGAATCTGTATTTCACGTCTCTTACTATGAACATGTTGGCAGTCTTGGAGGACAGCCTGGCTGTCCTGAAGGCCAGCTGGGTATTGAATAACACTATAATTTGCTCATTATTACTGCTGAACTGTTTTCAAGTGAGATGGACCCAGCAACAGCTGTTTGGCATTCAGTTTTAAGCCAGTCTTTTTAGACTTGGAAAAGTCCTGGGTGATCAATATTTATACAACATTTGTTTTTAATGAGTTTTTAGACCTTCCTGAACTGTTACTGCAAAATGTGAGCAATCTGCTTGAATCCTGTTCATTAGCAGCAACCTCTGAGTGCTGTAATTTATCCTCTCTATGCAACACTGAAGTGCTCGAAGTACCGTACACCTAGCACTTTGGGAGCCGTAACTCCACACCTCTTATTAATAATTAGCTCAGGCTTCTCTGGGACAATAATGCTGGACTCCATGCAACATTTATAAGTTCCTTGTGTCTGTAATTCAATTAATAAGGTTGCTCTCAAGCTTCTTTAAATTCACAGTTAGCAAACAGGGCACACTTTGGCCTATCTTGTGATATAGATAATTTACCTATAACACATGATACCAGCTATTACAAAGCTCAGTTTTGTTGCCCTGTGTTGCTTTTGACACGTCCTCATGTTAGTAAAGTTGCACTACTTCCAAGGGGGTGTGCGTGCGTATCTGTGTGTTTTTGGTAATTGTTGAGGTTTCTAAAAGAATTCTATGAGATTAAGACTAATTTATACTGCTTGATTATTCCATGTTTCTTCACATTCTACTCTTAGACTAAAAGAAAAAATGAAAAGGACAAAGTGTGGCGAAAGTCTACTGGGATGTTTAAATGGAGGCCTTTTAAGTGAGGAGGATTAAATATCAAGGTAGAAAGCTGAATTAAATAACATATTGGTTTATACTTAACAAAAAAAACATGTAGCACAGGCATGGAAAATACACTGGAAGTCTGTTCCCTGACTGAATGTTGTCGTGTTGTTGCTGAGCTTTCAAAGCTAGGAAGATTTTTACAGAAGAATTTCATTTATTTCAATTGCATAATGACAGAATCACAGAAGGGTTTGGAAGGTATCTCCAGAGGTCATCAACTCCAACCCCGTTCTAAAGTAGGCTCTTTTCAGCAGGCAGCACAGGTGGGCATCCAGATGGGTCTTGAGTATCACCACAGAATGAGACTTCGCAACCTATCTCGGCAACTTGTTTTGGCGCTCTGCTAGTTCAACAGTAAATACATTTTTCCTTCTGTTCTACGAAACTTCCTGTGTTTCAGTTTGTTACTATTTTGTTACTACTGCCCCTTGTTCTGTCTTTGCACACAACTGAAAAGAGCCTGATCCCACACACTTGGCTCCTGCGCTTCAGATACTTATAAAAGGTGACGAGGTACCCTCTCAGTCTTCTCCAGGGTGAAGAGTTCCAGGTGTTCCTTCAACCAGACTCTGCACTACTGATGCCAACCCTAGTTCTTAACCCACCTCACTGTCCATTCATCTATCTCAACTTCATTGTAGAATGTTGTGGGACATGTTGTTAAATGCCTTGTGTTTAAAACACAAACGTCAGGAAACATATCATCCACTGCTCTCCCTCCATGTACCCAGCCAGTGATGACATCACAGAAGCTACTAGGTTGGTCAAGCATGATTTTTCCTTGGTGAGTCCATATTGATTACTCCTGATAACCATCTTCTCTTCCAATTGCTTGGAGATGACATCCAGAAGAAGTTATTCCAATCATCTTTCATAGAATCAAAGAATGACGTGGGTTGAAAAGCGCCTCAAAGATCATTGAGTTTCAACCCCCCTGCTATGTGCAGGGTCACCAACCAGCAGACCAGGCTGCCCAGAGCCACATCCAGCCTGGCCTTGAATGCCTCCAGGGATGGGGCATCCACCACCTCCTTGGGCAACCTGTTCCAGTGCCTCACCACCCTCTGTGTGAAAAATTTCCTCCTGACACCTAACCTAAACCTCCCTTGTCTCAGTTTAAAGCCATTTCCCCTTGTCACTATCCACCATCGTAAATGGCTCCCCCTCTTGTTTGTACACTCCCCTCAAGTACTGGAAGGCCACAGTAAGGTCTCCATGGAGGCTTCTCTTCTCCAAGCTAAACAAGTCCAGTTCCCTCAACCTTTTTTCATAAAAGAAGTGCTCCAGCCCTCTGATCATCTTATTGGCCTTCCTCTGGATCCGCTCCGAGAGCTCTGTGTCTTTCCTGTGCTGGAGGCCCCAGGCCTGGATGCAGCATTCCTGATGGGGCCTCACAAGAGCTGAGTGGAGGGGGACAATCACTTCTCTGTGCCTGCTGTCCACTCCTCTTTTAATGCACCCAGAACACACTTGGCCTTCCAGGCTGCAAGGGCACTCTACTGTCTCATGTCCAGTTTCTCTTCCACCAGGACCTCCAAGTTCTTCTCTGCAGGATTGCTCTCAATCAGTTCTTCACCCAGTCTCTATAAACACCTGGGATTACCCCAGCCCAAGTGCAGCACCTTCCACTTGGCCTTGCTGGACCTCTTTTTGTTCAAATGGGCATAGGGCAGTGTTAGAGAAGGGAGAGATCTCAGCCACCAGCAAAGTGAAATCAAGGAATATGCTCAGAGATGTCAGCAATGTCAGCCCTGAAGATTTGGATCATCATGTCAAAAATTAGTTTTGGTTTGTTGTAGAAAGTCAGAAATTGAGTAAAAGCTTAAATAATATCAAAGCTCTTGAAAAATTGCTTGATAGAAAGTCCAGGAAGCACAGACAGCTTCTTTTTGATGTCTTTTTTTTTGTTTGTTTGTTTTTGTTTTTTGGTGTTTTTTTAATCTTAAAGAAAAATTTCAATAAGACATATAAAACAAGCAAACACAAGGCATAGATTGAGATTAAAGTAAATCTTTATATGATTTACACTGTGTAAAATTCATTCTTGTTCTGGCTTAATTTCATTGTAGAATTTTTTTTTTTTTTGTGGAGTACCTTTTCCAGATACAGATACAAACTGTCCAATGTGGAGGATTTTCAAAGTGTTAGAGGTTGTTTTCCCCTTTAAATTTCTAATTTAATGCTTCATTAAAAAAACAAACTACAACAACGACACAAAACAAACAAATAAAATGTTCCCCAATGCCTATGTTTTGAAATCTTTTAGTTCTGCATCATAACTCCTTGTAGTTTTTGACCAAAAAGCATAGGCTTTCTACAGTTTCTGTAGGCTTCAATTTCAGCAATTTTTCATGAAATAGCCCACTGTTTGGGTTCTTTGATGACAGAAGTGATGGTAAAAGGTATTTCTCTTAAGTGAGAAATATGGTTTGGTGACTTAGGGGATCGGTAGGTATGTATCCAAATTGATTCTGCAAGTGCAGCATTTGTGAGGACACTGCCACCTGTCGTTAACAGTGACTTATATCTTTCCAGATGGTGAAATAAGATTTTAAATCCTGAACATGTGTGTTTAAATGAGACTCTTGTCCACTTTTCCTGAAGATGAGAAACTTGTTTTCTCTCATTTGTTTGAAATATGTTGTAGTAGAGTCAAAAGGAAAGAACAAGATGTGAGCCAGAATACCTGAAAGGAACTTGGGTGATTTAGAAAATGCAAAGGGCTCAATTTGATGTCAAAATCAGCTAAAGTAAAAAAAAAGTCAGATGCCAAGATCCAGAATATAAATGTGATGCAGCAGCACAGAGTAAGAGATCTCTAGAGTCTTAAAAGGATCCTGAGGAACACTTTGAAGTGGTGAAGAAACGGCATGTGTGGCTGTGTATCTGAGGTGGTGGTTGGCTATTTTATTTTATTTTTCTCTGAGTCTGTCTATGTGTTTTGCCTTAGGGACAAAAAAGCTGGGGGTAGGGAGGAAAAGTTACTGTCTTGGGATTCTTGTCTAAATGTATAACAGTTTTTCCTTCTACCAACCCAAATCTTTGGAGAAAAAAAAAAAAGGGGGAAAATTGCCAGGAAAAAGCCTGCTGTAATCCTGAGGATATCGGAAGAATTGGCACTAGTCCTGATACCTCATCAGCTGGATTTAGGCGTGAGCATTTGGAAAGAGAGTGCTTAGATGGGACTCAAAGAGTGAAAGCTGAATTCAGTAGTTTGCATAATCTTGGGAAGCACAGAAACAAAAGAATGTAATCAACTATGCCTTTCTTTTGCCCTTATCTTCCAGAGAAGCGCAGCTTTTTGTTGAAAAATTTGAAGGTGCTCTTGGAAAAGGAAAGGGAAAAAAGTTCTATGCGTACAAAGTGATGATGACCAAGGTAAGTGCAGTACTTTACTAACTTCATGTCAAACAAAAGTGGAGTCTTGGGTGGCTATATGTACTCATTTTCCAAAACAAATTTTCTTGTCTTTATCTGGTTATTAATGCTTTTGTTTCCTCTGTTTGCACATGAAACAATTTCTAATTAAGCTCACAGTTTGATTGGGACTTATCATCTGCTTATCAGGTGTTTAATTGAGACTTTATCAATAGAAAAATTAACTGTTTTGCTAGAGTTATAAAGACTCATATCTGAACACATCCCTTGAAAAAATTTCTATTGGTGTAGATGTTTCTCTACAGTCTGGATCTTAAGCCTAGTCTTTCCGTTGATCCTGAGAATCAGAAAACGCCTTTTTGCCCACTGTAAAGATACCAGAGGCACCTCTATTGAGTCAAAACATAAGCAATATCCCAGATATATTCTAGGAAACTACGTGTTGCTGCAAGAGTGTGATTGAGAGGCTGAAAAGTTGTTGCTGAGTACTCCATGTCCACATTATCTGTGTTCTGGTCAGTTTTACTTTGATCCAAGTCCTGAGTGATTCCATGAACTAAATACACAGCAGTGGATATGGATTAGTACACTTCTAAAGTATGTTTTTCGTATGAGTTTTATACTTTGGTAGATCTTTAAAGTGAATGTGGTAAATTGGCTGGTTTGGAAGATTCATTTCAAAAGTACACTCCTACTCAAAATGAAATGCTGCTGTGGAATGATACTACAAATGTTTGACAGGACTACTTATTCTATCCAGGTTTATCCTTAGGTAAATTGGCTTTTCTGCAGGCAGCTGTGTAGTCACATCTTATTAACATTAATATTCACAAAAAAGGTATCAGGCTTTAAAACTGAGCTGTGCACAAGAAGCTCAATTATGGAAGTTCCACTCATCCAATAGATAAAGTAGTAAGTAGAGTAATTGCAATTAAATGACGCAGCTTGAGCTCCAAATCTGAATTATGTACAGCAAAGGAAAGAACAAATTAAATTCTCAGAAACAATTCCAAAAACTGAATGTCATGAAAGGAAGGGATTATTTAATCACTTTCCTTGTGGAAGAAATGGGAACTTCACATAAAGGCAGTGGGAGACATATTCAGAACAAACGAAAAAGAGATGACTCTTCATAAGCTAGTGCTTCTGCCACAGTGTGTTCTGCCAAAGAACTGTGTGTATGACTACGGGGTTATATTAGTTAGCTCAAAGGGAAATTGAACATCGGGTGTCAGAAATGATTTTTTTAAACTCCATGAATGTTTCAGAAATGGATGAAATTCCAAAGAGATTTTGAGAATTTTAAGACAGCCTGCATACCCTGGGAAATGAAAATTAAAGAGATTGAAAGTAAGTACTTGTGAATGATAATAAAGAGTACTATCTAGTATTGTATCTCTAATGCATGCCAAAATTCTAAATTACAGTACTTTAGAAGTACCTCCTTGTTCATACATACAGGTATAAAACACATGAATATTTCTTCTTTCATTAATATTAAAATTGATTTTGTAACCTGTTCAAAATGTCCTTGAGAGAATGTTAGGCACCTAACAGATAATAAGACAGTATCAAAGTTAAACTTGGAAAAGAGATATTGAAATTTAATTGTTGTCTACCTCCACTTTATTTTGTCTGTATATCATAATTATTTCTATGACGTTTTTTTTCATAATCTTTAGACTTATTTAAGAGGTGTTGCAAAGTTAGCAGAGCTAGTATGAGATCACTTTTAAAAAACCTTATTTTATTATCAAACTCTGGTCAAAACCTCCAGATGTAATTAGAAATCAAATACAGAATATATTCCACACAGCTTGAAGCTGGTATGTGTGAACTCCACGAAATTAAATTTTCTTAATTGTTGATGTCTGCAGCAGTGCAGTTGTGTTAAAGACGCAGCAGAAGCAACTTTGCAGGAGGAAATGGGCTTCTAGATTGGCTACAAACCGAACAAAGAATTGGTTGCCCTTTGGCTCCTATGTCACAATGCCAGTGGCTTTCTCTTTCCAGACTTAGTTTAATTACTTGTGTAACAACAGTAACACTATTGACTTAAGCACATAATAGGTCTTGTTAAAGGAAACACATTGAACAATTCAGAGAATCCTGTTTGCAGAAGTTTCCTCACACTTGAACACTGAATCCCTCAGAATGCACAGAAGAATGAGGAGAGGTGAAAGAAAGCTCTCAAACACTGGGATTGTACTACAGGATCAATACTTAGCATACAGATATCATCATCAGACACCACTGTGTCTGTGATGGGTTGTAGTTTTGTGGCAAAATGTAGTTGCATTGAAGAAATCAACCACCGTCTACTCAACTGCTCATTTCTGAAGGAGACAGTACAGTAAAATATGCAGCAAATATCAGATTGTGACAGGCAAAACAGATTGTTTGAACCAGTCTTAGAAACCTGATGCACTATATAAAATGAATATAAAATGCACTGACACAGTTCATTTCTTTAGAACTGTGTCTGTACAATTGCTTTCCATATTACTACACAGTAGTGCAAGTTCACACTAGAATTTATTTTGTGATTATTTTTTACCATCAGAAGAAACATACCATCTGGTGTATTTTATTCACTAGATCAACATACCTGAAAATGAATGTTTCTAAGTAGCATCTGCTCTATGCAACAGAAGGACCAAGGGATTATAAATAGACAAACAGCTTCTTATTCCAAAGAAACCAGAGGTAACATTTTAAAGTAATACTCTAGGGTAAATGCTAATATTATGCTAGGAGCTATTTTCTTTGAACACAAAAGTGGCCATTAAGCACAGAGGTATAAATACCAACAAATGCAGTAGGTGATGTCAGCAGCAGCTGAAAGAGTTAAAATTTATGAAACTTCAAATTCTATTTGAGTGTTGATCCTAACTAATAGAAAGTGTAAGTAGAAAGCTTATGAATGAAATAAAAGCCTGTCATCTATGTGCAGAATACTCTTTATAGGAGACTTCTTTATCTGTCTGAATACATTTGTGTGAGGAAGCGGTTAATACTCAGCAAACCTCCTTAGCTGTTAACTTCTAACGAGTTATTTTTAAGCATAAGTCATTTCTGTACTCTTACATGAAGATGATTTTCATTTTCTGGTCTCAAAATGAGTTGTTTATAAAAGAATTCCAAGCAGGTGAGGCTGTAAGTGTTAACAGTAGGCAGTAAGTAGAATATTCTTACCACTGGGAAACACTCATCTTTATTCCTCAGTCTTTCACTTGCAGCTGAATAAGAAAGTATGACTTGTCTCAAATCAATCTTTGCCTTATAGATTAGAATTATTGCAGGAATATAATGATTGCTCTGAAAGTAAAGCCTCCTACAAGGCATACAGGGAGCACAATAACAGAACACTGTTTTTCAACATAGCCACCACCGTTAACTACACATGTTCTCCCATGATGAACAGGAGTCTGCATGCTGCACTCATATATAGGCCCTGATTAACTTGCATAAAATATTCTTTCTGTTCTTGTTTGAGGATCTGTAGGACCCACCTGATGTACCAACATTGCCACAATCGTTTTCAGTACACTGAAGGTGATATTGAACTCCGTACAGTTCTCTGGTCTTAATCTGCTGATTTGCATGGATTAATTTATTGAGACACTTTTCATTTTGTGGTGTGACATCTGTGCATGGTCATCTAGACTGTGGCTTGCCTGTCACATCACTGTTACTACTGCTGAAACGCACCACCCACTGCCTCACCTTGCTCACATCCGCTATTTGGTCTCCATAAGTATTCATCAAGCATCAGTGAATGTCAGTGGGCGTCATTCAGTGAAAAACCTTTGCTTCATATTCACTTCCATGTCAGACACTGTTTTGTCACTGTCCCTCTGCTGCCATCTGTCTCATGGCAACAAAAAGTAACAGGGTATTGATGGAAATCACGGAGTCATAGAATCATAGAATTACCAAAGTTGGAAAAGGCTTCCAAGATCATCCAGTCCAACTGTCCACCTACCACCAATATTTTCTCACTGAACTATGTCCTTTAGTGGAACATCTAAACATTTCTTGAACACCTCCAGGGACGGTGATTCAATCACTTTCCTGAGCAGCCCATTCCAGCACTTGATCACTGTTCTGGAGAAGAAATTTTTCCTACTATGCAACTTGAACCTCCCCTGGTTCAACCTCTACTTCCATACCACCATTGTTTGTCTCTGACATTGTTGGCCAGCATAATAAAATAGGAGGCATTACTTTCAGAGCAGCACTCATGTGAATGCAGACTGGCATTAACTACACATTTAAAAGTTATAGAGACCTTTCTTCTTCTCGCTCTGTGGGCCAGCAGTAGGTGGACCACCATTGTTCAGACACAAAAATTCTTGAAAGAGTCCTTTCTGTGATAATCACCAATATCATTCAGTATTAAGAAATGAATAACAAGGAAACAGAGTAAGGAAGAGGAAGAAAAAGGTAATTGCAGTTTATAAGCCCTAGAAAATAAAACTTCATTTTAAACTCTGCTTAGTTTTATGCTGTCCACGGTAGTGAATAAAAACCTTGTTCTCACCATTTTCCATGTTGCTTTCTGCTTCCTGAAATCATTCCCAAAAGAATGAGGATATTAAGACTGATCCAAAAGAACCCATGAAACAGGCAGAGCTCTAGACCATGAGAGTCCAACATTTTAGCTTGTCTGGGCCACAGGATCATGTAAAGACTAACTGATATTCCCTTTTTTTTACATCTTACGTTTTCATAGGTCACTTTGGGTCATCGGTAGCATCTTATTTCATATTCTTACGCTGGATGTATGGAATAAACATGATTCTCTTTGGGCTGACGTTTGGACTTGTAATGGTGCCTGAGGTGTGATTTTTTAAAATTTTCATTGAAGATTGGTGTGTGAATTTCTGTCTTTGCTGTGACATTTCATAGGACCTGACCTTCAAATTTTATAATCTCGTTATGTGCCATTAAAAACTCTTAAGATGTACAAAAGTCATAAAGGCATATTTTCTTCATTGAAGGCTGTCTTTAGAGAGTTATCTTGAATTAGTCTTAACAGAAAAATGTATGTTAAGATTCTGTCCCCAGAATGGTCTTGCATGGCCTAAAATAGTGCTGAACTTTTCAAAAAAGAGGGCTTGTATGAAATTGAAATTGTTCTTTCATCTACTCTCTTTCAGTCTTTCTCAATCTCTCACTTTATTCTCTAGTGACCAAATCAGAAATTGTAAATTGGGAATTTCCAATTGTTCCTTAGTATAACATTTCAATTGTGTGATCCATTTCCACAAGAGAATATGCCCAGCTATTCACAGGGAAAGGCCTGGGAAGTATCCCATGAGGATGTATACTCATGGCATCTTGCCAGAACACTGGGATTGAGAATCCAAAAACGGTATCCCTTGCATCTTCCCACGTATTTCAGTTAAATAACCAATGAAATCCCATTTTACAAGAGAAACTAATCTTTTGGTTTTGTCTTTAAAACAAGCTCTTCTGATGAATTTGAGCTTTATTGCCTTTGACTGTGACATGATAACACACTGATGCTAGTGAAATGTCACTTTAAATGTAGAAAATATCATTAATGCATACTTTAGGCATAGTTTCAAATATTAATGTGAGAAGGTGGGGAAGTAGGTCATTCTCATTAAGGCGCTAAGGAGCACAAGGAGAGTCTTCCTAAGAACTGACAGATCACTATCCCTTCCCTTTGTTGGTATTTTGCTTTAAAATGTAAATTGCTATCATTTCTTGTTTCTAGGCATTGATGGGAAAGCCATATGGCTCTTTACCTAGAAAAACTGTTCCAAGAGCTGAAGAAGCTACAGCTATGAACTTTGCTACCCTTTGGGATTTTAGTGTAAGTGCATAATCTTGCAATGATGCATTTTCACATGACTTTTTGATTATTAAGAACTTTGGATTCATTATTTAATATTTGAAGATTTAATGTGGAATATTTCAGGAGAAAATTGAAGTAGAAGTAATTTATTTCATTTTTACCCAAATTCTGAGCATAGATTTTTCACAGAGGTAAAATTTATGACAAATCTCAGAGTCCACATATACATTTCAGTATTTTAAGCAATACAAAGACTCACTGGAAAAATTTTCTGTACTGGATCCACATCTCTATATATTGAGGGTCTACTAAGGATGAATTTGATCATCTGTATTTAGCAGGTTAGCAGTTTATTCCCAAAGGTGTCATTGTCCTTTTTCATCCTGAAAACAGCTAGTCTAATTTTGCATGTGACATGTTTCTGCTGTTCTCCTCTTTGTATAAAGATGATCCAACTTGGTATAAAGTCAGCTGGGGATAAATTTTGTATTGCAGCACATTAGTTAGAAGGTTGTTAGAGTTCTTTATAGACAGTGGTCAAAAAAAGGTATTTTTCATCTGTGAAATGGTGTGAGTCTAGTTAAGATTTTCCTTCATATTGATAGAAGCAGCATCTGTTGAGATAATAGTGAGTAATCTACCTCTCAGTCTGCTGCACTCCTTTTCTCTAAGGAGCACCAATACTGTAAAGATGTATCTTCTAGCACTTGAGTTTTTGCAGCAGTAGAAAACACAAATATGATTGTTGCAACCAAACTAATTTCTTTGGGAAATAAACTCAAGTGCAAATTCCTCCAACTTAGAGCTCAGTGCATCCAATCATTAGCATACTGACTTATGTTTAGAAACAGCCTCTCTGTGTGGTTTTGGTATCTTTGAGATCCTGCTCCACCTGTGCTGGTGGCATGGAACAGTGCTGAATGCTAAGCTCTGTTTGAGCATTTTCATCAGGGCACAGGAAAATTTTTGTATGTATCCAGCATTAAACCCATCTGTTATCTTCCCTAAAAAAGATATAGTAATGTGGAATGATTCTGCCTCTCCTTAATATTAGCATTTTTGACTCTGGTTTGGGTGTATAGAGATTCTTAATCTTCTAATATCTAGATCTCAGGGTTCTTTGTAGCTCAGTACTCTTATGTACTGCCTGAAATGCCTTCACATTTTGGCTCCTTTTTGTCTTTATTTTAAATATTCAGCCAACAGTGCAAGAAGAATCTGGTAATCAGACCACTGAACACGGGAAAATACTTAACTTCATAAATTCATTTTCTCATTTATGAGCAAAGTCTTTCAGGCTTGTTAATTGCAAAACGCTGTATGTTAAACTAATGTAGTAATATGTAGAAAACACATTGATTGTCTCTCTTTTGACTGTAAATATATATAAAGTGGTCAGATGACTTCTGCTTTACTAATTCCACAATTCATGGTCCCTTCTTGTATAGATATGGATAGAAGTGAACATTACTTTTCTAAGAAAACATCTGTATAATCTTTTCCAAGGACTGCTGCATAAAATGTTTAGCTCATCAGGAGTTACATACTTGAATGACAGGAAGAATATGTCTAGACATGTAGCTGGGAATTTAGATAATGATGAGATTTTAAACAGATATTAAAGCGTCAGGGAGCTATTGGAGAAATATGAATTGTGTAGTGAATTGAAGCCTTTATAAAGAGAATACAGACTAAAAGAGGCTTATGCAGCAAATAGGAATAAAGTTTTTAAAATAAATAGAGCTGAGAAATGAAGAATGTAGTCAGAAGGTAGAAGGAGGAGGAAGTTGTAACAACAGAGAGAAACAGCATTTGACAGCTGTGTAGAAAGTTTAGTAAATAAAAGCAGCAGTTAATACAGGGAGCAGATGCAATGGAAATTAAAATAGAAGAGGGCAATGAAAGGAATGAATCCTCTAAAATATTGAGGGTAAAAAAGAATTTTCTTGAGGAATGTCAGATTGAAAAATATTGCCTGAAAACAGTGGTATCTTCAATTAAGTAGTCTTTTATTTGGTAGCAGTTATGGAATGCTACAAAGTAAGTTAAGAGTATACATTTATTTATTTTATATAATTTATTTATTTAATAATTATTTATGGCATATACTTCATTTTCAGCTAATAATTGCTAAATCTATTTTCTTTTAGTTTATACTATGATTCATTTCAGTTGTAGTGACAGCTACTATAGACAAAGTGCATGTTGCAATGAGAAATGTCTTTTAAATAATATGAGATACTGAACACCAGAAGGGAAGTAAATGGCTCTTTTCAACTAACAGAAACCTCATATTACTGTATCAGTGTCAAAATGATCTATCCACCAATTGCATTTTGACAGAACAGTGTATTTGACTTGAATTCATTGCATTCAACTGGAGCTGTAGCCATGGTGAGCTGCTGTCAGAAAGTTTCTGCATACAGTCTTCTAGCTGTAACCTGAGGATTATCAGAAAGCCTCATTTATTTGGATCATTTTAGACACCAGCAATTGTTTATAGTTAACCATGTACTAGTAAATTACCCTGAAAAATCGTCAAATTGATCTGTAGAAGAGAAGGGGATTCTTGTTGCTTTTAGAAAAATAAAACAAAAAGTCCAAACTGCTGAAAAGAAACTTATGCCTACCTCACACTCTGTATAGCCTTGGAGTCTAAATGTTTTTAAAACACCTACATAGTGAATAATCATCCAAAAAAATGTAGTTATGTAATGACTAACATATTAAATGATCACCCAGTGAACAGAAAAGGGCTACTAGACAAAAAAGTTACATGAGAATTTTATGTCAAATAAGTTACGCAAGAATGTGGAAATGAAGCAAAAAACATTTCATTTCTGTTGCAAGTAATTTATAAAACAAAATATGAAGATGATTTTTTTTTAATTGTAGATAGAGTTGCCATGAAAAATTTTAAAGGTAAAAGATTTGAAAATTTACATTAAGTATTCTATTTTTTTAATATTACAAAAATGATTTTCCTCCTTCCTGTGAGCTTTATTACCGTAATGCTTATGACCATTTTGAACACACTTGAAAATAACGCTTCATCATGTTGAAACTGGTAGGATTCTGATTCTGTGCATTTCTAACAGGTTTGTGATGTTACATCTTCTTGTTAAATTTTCAGGGCTTTGCACAGTATTCTGTGCTTTTTTACGGTTATTACAATAATCAGAGGACAATTGGATGGCTCAAGTTCAGGATGCCTCTTTCCTATTTCCTTGTTGGCGTTGGGACTATTGGCTACAGCTTTATGATTGTCATTCGAACGTAAGTTCACAGTTATAAAAACAAGTAATATCAATGTTAGTCACTCGGATTTTCTTTCAGAAAATACACTTTGGAATGTAGCAATCTTAAGAGCAGGACAAATGCAACATCAGTGGAGCGAAAATGCAAGGAAAAGCTGAATTCTGTTAAAGTTGTATATTATTCCTTGGGCCTGTTCTTATTTACTTTTGCAGCAGCTGTCTTTCAGTATTTTGTCGCTGGGAAAAATCCTCACAGAAATACCAGTACTTCCCTCCTGCAACTTCAAACTGTGAAATGAATGCATGAAGTAAGGAACAGAACCGTCAGACCATATTTTCATAATGCTCTGCATCTAGCATAATGGCAGTTAACATTCTGGAAATTCAACTGTTCTTCTTTCAGTGATACCTTATGTGAATTGAATTAAGAAGAAAGAAGGCAAAAAAGAAAGAAACATATGGCAAATAATTCTCTATGTAATTCATAGCCAGCAGTAAATGACTGTCCACAAGTCTATAGTGGTTAAGTCATGTTTACACAGTAGTATCAAAGAATAATATTGATCACAGTGAAGATTTAATGTCCCGAAAATAATTATCTCCGGCAGCGTTTTATCCAGGAAAACTGTGCTTAATAAAACGTAGTAAACATAAAGTTAAATCAGTAGGAAACATATGTGTAAGTGAAACTGGGCCTAGGCAGTACAATTAGTGAGGTTTTAGGCTTTTGGCTCTCAAATTCTGGATTTAAATTTTGTCTTACTAGCAGAATTAGATGAATATTCATTCACTATTATTTTATATTATTTGTATAAACAATGATGATTCTAATAGTTTCAGAGGAGATATACTGTTAGTGAACATAGTGTTTTATAACCTTCATTCAAGTACAGTGATCACCTACCTCAACAAATGCCCTTAGCTAGAAAAACAGATTTAGAAGTTTCTTAGTTTGGAATAATTGGAACATTGTAGGTCAGGATGCAAGGACATTTGTGAATTTAAAGAAAATCACAGTTAAAATATTCCAGTATTTTGTGATGTAGCCAACATTTTCCACTTTCAAAAGCACTAGATTAAATCATATTCAGTTTTTCAACTGTTATATGGTTTCCTGCATAGGACAAAAAGCATTCCAGAAGGGGAAAAAACAAAACAAAACAAAACAAAACAACAACAACAACAACAACAAAACAGAAAAAAACCCTTCAATTACACATTTATATTTTGGAGAACAAAACACTCATTCAATAATAAGAGTCATTAATTTAGGTTGAAAACATCCTTTATAATAGTTATTTATGTATTTGTGAAGATCAAAAAGAGAGTAATATTTGATAGTCACACAGACAAATAAAAACTAAAACTAAAAATTATTCTAACAGAATTCCTGAGTGCAAAACAGAGGGAAATCATGCTCTATGTAGTATCTTCCTTCTCACCTGGCCATGTGACATTACTGCTGGTCTGTTACTAGGTGATCTTAAGAGCAGCTCTTGCAGTCTACTGATTATTGCTGTTTTTCCAGAAAGTAGTGCAACATGTCCTGCTAATTTTCATCTGGAAAGAGAATGCATGCATGCATGAAAGAGTTGGTGAAGAGTATAAGTAGTATTATTGTATTTAGGGAAAATAACTAGAATTACAGCTTCACTCTACAACTCATCCTATGGAAACAATATGGAAACATTTCTGGTTCCAAATAAATGACATTCTGAGCACAGGATTGTTCTCTATTTTGTTAGGAACTCTTTAGAATTTTAGGCTTTTACCTTAGTCTAAAATTACCTTAGTCTAAAATCAGCAGCAGGGCAGATCCTATCAAGAGTGTTTCATAATATGCCCTTCTGTAATTAAACAGTAACAACAACAACAACAAACTGGCATTAGATTATGCCAGCTCCAAAGCGTTTGCTGTACTTGTCCCTGACTTATAATTCTACTTCTCTATTTGAGTGTATGAATTTCACTGGACAGTTAGAAATATGTTATATACCACGTATTGATATTAATAAAATGAATCTACAGCTTCAAAAAAAAAAGAAAAGGATTGCATTTTCCTGACCAAAAAAAATCAATGCAATGTCCAAGATTAAATGAGTAAATTTAGTAGTCAAGATGAGATCAAAACAATTAAGAAGGAATTTGATGTTTGTGGGTACTGTTACAAATCTCACTTAAAAATACATGTGAGATGGGAGGCAAGCCTGAGAGCTTTATTTAGTGATTTTTTATTTTGTTTTGGCTGGTTATTTTAGAATTATTCTCTTCTTATTAATGAAGTCTCTAATCAAAATCTACTGCAACTTCTTTGAGAGATATGCCTAACATTGTGTTTGAGTTTCTTATTCAGCAGAATTCCTCTGAGATGTTCATGAGATACATTGATTTTTTTCTCATGAAAATGAGTATTATTATCTGACAAATTCTCTAAAAATATCAAAATCTCCATTGTTTTCCCTTGTTTGAAGTAGATTTTTTTCATGAGTGATTATAATAAAATATATGTATTTCAGAATAGAGTTAGAACTTTAAGTAGAATTTTAAAAACATTCAGAGCAAAACTAGCTCTAATTGAGCCTTTCTGCATCTTTTCAATTTTTGTAGAATGGCAAGGAATGCAAATGATGATGGTGGTGGGGATGATACTAGCTTTAATTTCAGCTGGAAAATGTTCACAAGCTGGGACTACCTGATTGGCAATCCTGAGACAGCAGATAATAAGTTTGCTTCCATCACTACCAGCTTTAAGGTAAAACAAAGATCACTAGAGAGATGTAATTTGCTTAATTTTTCACATTATTGTGAATCAGATGGAACTAAAGCCAAGTATAAACTGTCTGGAATCTAGATGCTTAACCAACTGGATTTGCAGTCATGATGTTAAACAGCAATAGGAACTGGAGGACCAAGCATTAACTATACTGTCCTATCATGAACCACACTGTTTCTTTCTGCACTAGTGATATAAACAGTTTGTTTCTACATACTGCCCACCTTTCCAACTATAGGCATAAAATTTATATGCATGTAAGATAAATGGAAAGAAAAGGTCTTAGGAAAACAGACACAAAGTACTAAGCATTGAATGTCTTTGAAACTTCCATGCCTGCCTGTGAAAGTCAGCTATTGAATGACATTTGGAGAAGAACATAAATCAGTTGAGATGGAGACTTATTTTTGAGAAATACACTCATGAACATTTACTGTAATTTTTGCCAACAAGGAAAGTGTGAAGCCTTAGCTTGGCTGATGTTCTCGAGGTTTTGCTTAAAAGCTGCTGCAGTCTCCTTTCCTTTGCATACTGAACACATGCAGTAGGAAAAGTGAAATCAAGATTAAAAAATAAACAAATAAATAAAATTACAATTCAGGAATCCAGCTTCCCTTCTGCACAACTGATGTCTATATCAAGACAAGAAGCTGTAAACAAACTTCTTTTTCATGAAGACGTCACAGAGAGAAAAGTCTTTCTGCTGGCAAAAGCAGGAAGCTTGAGACTTCATTTACAGCAGTCATGGCCAAGGGTAAATACTAGGCAAACATTTCATATTACAGTCTGAAGCTGTGTAATGTTTGTTTGTTTGTTTGTTTTCCTGTAATTCTAAGTGTAAACAGTTTTTTCATCTCCCCTCAATTTCTGATTCTCAATATGTATTGCTGTTTTATCACAAAAGTGCATTTTTTTTAGTGTGACAGTTCCTTTTCTGGCAGCGAATTATGTGTGTATTGCTGGTGACTCAATCTCACAGCACCTCATAAGCAGGCAGTGCTGATTTCATACTGAAACATGAGAGAAGGTGTAATGAGAATTAGTGGGGATACACTAAATCAAAGCAAAGTGAATTCTGGAGATCCCAAACCCCAGAGTCCATAAAGGTCCAAAACGGATTTTCTGATACAATATGTGTTTGCCTGAAAACATGATGTCCAGGTGTGCATTTGCTTTGTCACAACTTACTTAACTGAATTCTAACAGGATAAGCAATGTAGAGTCTTGACCATTAAAGTACTGATAATCTTTTGTTTCTAACAAGCGCAGGAAGCTATCGTGGAGGAGCAGGAGAGCCGAAAGGAGGAAAATATTCACTTGACTCGGTTCCTGAGGGTGCTTGCTAACTTCTTAGCCATGTGCACACTTGCTGGGAGTGGCTACCTCATATTTTTTGTTGTGAGAAGATCCCAGAAATTTGCCCTGGAAGGTCTGGAGAACTACGGGTGGTGGGAAAGAAATGAAGTTCGTGCTAGCACATTTCTGAAATAGATGTGGTTTGAAACTGCTCCTTTACTCTGCATGTTGCTTTTTTTTTTCTTTCTTTCCCCTCTTGATTACTTAAGTACTTGTAATAGGGGTGCTAAATGTGTAACAAAAGAACTCTTCTAGTCATAGAATCATAGAATCACAAGGATGGAAACAACCTGTAAGATCATCCAGTTCAACCGTCTCCTCATCACCACTGCCACCACAAGCACTAAACCATATCATGCAGCACGTCATCCAGACGCCTCTTGAACACTGCCAGGGACTCCACCACCTCTCTGGGCAGCCATTCCAGTGCCTGACCACTCTCTGAGTGGTCTTGAAGAGCGTCTTTCTGCTTTTCATTAAATTCATTAAAAAAGAATTCATTAAAAAGAATATTCTTTGGTTTGCTCTTTCAAGTGCTCTTTCATGTTCAGTTTTCCTTTATGGGCTTAATCTTTATTTCTGGGGGGGCTCTTAAAACTGTTTTTCTTTCTTTGGTCTCACAGTATCTCTTCAAGAAGCATGCTCTCCTGGTGCTTCTCTCTTGAGACTGGTCCAAGGAAAGTGACTTGTGTGTGACCATGTCCAAAGTTAGCTGAGGCTTCTAAGATACGAGTATGCAGTGTAACAAAACATGCCTTCTAGCTTCACCTGCCAGCCTAGGAATCCACTGTCTTTCTTTTCTTCGGTTCAATCCGCTTTCCTCTTGAGCAAATGGAGCTTTGTTTGTTAGAGAAATAATGAAAATGATTGTGTTTGCAATCAGAACACAGTAAGCACCTAAAGTCAGCAATGCTGTATAAAAGCCTGGTTAGACTTTGCTTTCTTAACAAACATATCATTCTGTATGTTGTAAAACTAGATGTTTGTTATTTAAAGCTCTGAGCAAGAGTGTGAAGTTGAATTCTGATTTACAGCAAAGCAAAAAAATGCCATCCTCACAAAGCAGATGGGAATGGATAATGATGTTATGAAGAATGTCGTTCCCTAACTTAGAGCACCAAAACTTCACACAGAAATTGACATACAAACTTCAGCAATCTGCCTTTAGAATGTAGAGAAATGGGCCTGCTTAAATTGGATTTAGTCAGTTGACAAAAAAATTACTTTATTTTACTCTTTTTGGAAAAGTCATGTACAAAACTGTGTTCCTTAAAGAAATACGCCACATCTGGTTCTCTAATGAGTAAGTTAAACAATACTGGATCCTGTATTGACCTCTGGTGGACACAGCCAGATACTTGACACTGTGTCACTGATCACAGCCCTCAGAGTCCTGCAGTTCACCCAGTTCTCAATCCACCTCACCATTCACTCATCCAGCTTGTGGTTTCCAGATCACAGAAAACAGCATTCACAGTGGAACTGTCAATGATATGAACAGTGGAAGAAAATCTGCTCCAGCACTTCAACTTGAAGTTGACAAGAAGTTCAGAACATAAGTCCATTCCCTTCTGAAATCAAACTAAAGTGATAAAATTCAATGAGTGACATGTTTCCTTCTACTCAGAAAAATTCTATAAGTAACTGCAAAATATAATAATAACACTCTGTGAAACTAAATTAGGAATTTTTAAACTTTTACATTGTGGAATGTAGTTTTTATAGTTTTTATATGGTTTTTTTTTTTTTTTTTTTTTAATTTTGAAAGCTCAGTATTCCATATTTTGTTTCAGTAAGCACTTGCATGTTTGTGTGTAATCATTTCATTTCACACTTCTCAGGTTTACAAGTTTTTGTGCATTGTTTCACCTCTTACCTTAATATCTTTCTCCCAGAACTTGAAATGTTTTTGAGATGGGAAGTCAAAACATGGGAAAATGCAGATAAAAAGAAAATGAGAAATAATATTCTTACTTCTTATAAATAAGAGGAAAGGCAGAACATAATAAAAATATACAAAATTTTGAATGATAAAGAAAATTAGTGATTTGTATCCTGCCTTTCCAGCAGTGCAGCAACAAGGAAACTTCTTAATTTTCAATTAAATTAACAAGTACTATATTTAAAACTACTTGAAGACCATACATTTTCTTCTATCATCCAAAATCAAGGAACTAGGGGATAACAAATGAGTCAAGTAGAACCGAGATTCAAAAAAGCAAAAGAAAAGGAATGCATGGGTGATGCCAATAGTATAAGTATTGAAATTTATGTCTGTCTGAAGGAAGACTGTTCTAAGATAAGACAGATTGTCTGGGAGCTACTAAAGATAAAAAAAGTACTGACTAAAGCAGTATTTTAAGTGAAAATAGTTGGAGTCTGGGACTCATAGACATTTTTCTTGTTCTTCCTCATTCACAACTGGGCTAGCCCCAAGGACTAGGCTAGGTCAAGTGTGACCGAGGGCATCTGTTCATATGCTTACATTTCCACTCTCCAGCAAGAGGAATCTGATTTAAAGTTAGGAGCATTACAAGTGGACGTAACATGTCTAATAAGAACTTTGATACTCAGCTAGTTATAATGATTTTGTGTCCTAATAATTCATGATTTACAGTGTTGGATGTAGTTGTCTCCAGCAGCTTTGCCATGTCAAGCCATACAGTTTATGATGTCTTTTGTTTAATGATGATTGAGAGTGCATGTGTTAGAAACAGATACTTTTTGAAATTTTAGTTTTAAAAACATAAATAAGATAAACTCCACCATCCCAAACCAAGTATCAGAAATAGCACTAAATACACATGAAAGAGTAGATTACTGTAATAAAAAAATCTACTTCTTCTGTGGTGCCACAAGAAGTGTGTGGTGTATGCTACTGATTTCCTATGAATATGAAATAGAAATATAAAAATCCAGAAATTACCTCTTGAACGTTAAAAACCAACGAAAAAAAAACGAAAGAAATACAGCAAACCATTTACTTATTTTAATTGAGAAGCCCAGTTCAGCAGATTAGAATTTCTAAGAGTGTGAATATACAAAAAGAGAGTGAATTTATTTGTTAAATAGTGCTTTTCTGTTGCCGTATTTTTTATGAGAACAAAAACCAATCTTATGTCTCTTGATATCAGGAAAGTAAGAACATATTAAAAATTGCAATTGTTCTAGAAAAATGGATTCCAGGATATTTAAGAGATGTTATTTTCAGAGCAACTGGAAGACATTTAAGTATTTAAGGTTTTTTTGTGACTAAATAAATTCCTTTTTACTCAGTGCCTTTAATATGAGTCATCTATACTGATATCTATAGATATCTATCTATTCCACAGAGGTTTGTGATTTAACTTGAGATAATGTTTTCAGTTACTTGGTTGTTTATGGTCCCTTAAGGAAGAAATTTTGGTAAGGAAATGTTATTTGAAATTGAAATTTAAAAATGAACTTCTAAACTTCTTCAATTTTCATTTTTGGCTGACACAGTCAATTAGATTTTGTGTTATTTTACCAAAAGACTCAAGCACATTTGCAATACATTTTATCAATCACTTCAGAATGTTAGATGCTTGGAATGCCTCCCTTGTCAGTACAATACACAATCTATGCTGAATTTCAAACTTTCTATGAAAGCTTATTTTTCTCAGTTTGCTTTCTGTGTACTTGTTCAATTCCCATACATATATGATGATGAATTAATCTTGTTAGAGGCATAAAAAAAAATATATGCAGAAAGCATCAAGACTAATTTGTGTTTGCTTATTCAGTGAGGATATGAGTGATGTCTCAGCCATTTAATTTAACACTGTATTTTTAGAGAAATGTTTCACATAGCTAATAATTTTTGCTAAATTCTCTGATTGAATTTTGCTTAAAATGTAGATTGTAGGTAAAAATCTAGTATTTGACTTTTTTTCTGAGATTGAAGGAAAATATAAAATAAAAAAAAAACCGCACTTCTATGTATCTGTCTACAGTAGATCATAAGTTTTCACTTAGTTCTTTGCAAAAGCATCTTGTAACTCTCAGTGTGTATTCTGCTCTTCACTCATTTCAACTAAATACCAAATGAAAAGTAGCACTGAAAATGCACTCACCGCTACAATTAGTAATAATAATAGATCCTGCCTCTAACATTTCACTGTAAACTTTTTCTCTTTTCTTCTCCCACCTCCCTAGGTAAACATGGTCATGTCACTTTTGGGAATGTTCTGTCCAACCTTATTTGATGTAATCAGTTCTCTGGAAAACTACCACCCTCGAATAGCTCTAAGATGGCAGCTTGGACGCATATTTGCTCTTTTTCTTGGCAATCTCTACACTTTCATTATTGCCCTAATGGATGAAATCAATCTCAAGGCAAGCTATTTAACTCTCTTCACTATTTTTAATATACACCAGGTCAAAGATATCTGTTTAAGAGTGTCACAGACGTATCAGTGAAAGATGAGGGAGTCTTGGATTGGAAAGGATTTTGGTAGTATAACCTTATAATCTATTTTTTTTTCCTCATTAATTTAAATATTTAGTTGGAAGAAGAAAAGATAGTCAAGTATAACATGACAATATGGGAAGCCAGTCTGTACAATGGCACTATTCCAGAAAATTCAACTGCTCCTCCAATACAGGTGGACCCTGCAGATGTTCCTAGAGGACCATGTTGGGAAACAATGGTAGGCCAGGTAATGTAACTTTTTGAGTTCATATTTGAAAATAAAACATAGTCTGTTACAAGAAATCATATTAAATTTCTGTTTATTCCTGCTGACAAGTTAAATTAAGTTGCGAAAACATGAGGAAATGAAGATGTAAGACTTATTTTTTTCCCAAGCTGCAAAGCTCAGATACAGCTATTTTATTTTATTTGAATTTTATCTGGTAGGGAGATCCCTCTGCATAGATAACAGCATAAAAGGATTTCTATTTTTTCTTCTTCTTTTTTTTTTTTCATCTTCTTTGTCTCACCTCTGTCTTGCAAAGCCTGCAACTATGAAAAGTTGGATCAGTGGTAACAATTAATGTAGTAATTCTGATCAAAGTTTGTATCGAACAAAATCAGATTCTGAAGACAGCAGACTTAGAACAGACTGATGAATATCTCAACAAGGAAATATGTGAGATTAGCTCTTGTTAGCAGTGTATATTTGAGAAGCCAAGTAATACCATGTAAAATAAAGAACATCAGTTTAGTAAATCTACTCATTTTATTTGATTCAGTTAAGCATTCATAATTATTTGTATTATATGATATGATGCTTACAAAGAATTTCCCAACATGTTTCTTTTCTCTGATTGATCATCTCTCTTTTTTTTTTTTTTTTTTTTTTCCTGCCCATGAGACTGAATTCACCACTGAATGACAACTTGTGCTATTGCTCCCTCACTGTGACAGTCTCCTCACTTATTATCAACACTCTCAAGTGGCAGCAGGGAACAGAAAGGCAGGAAGAAAACAAACACTGAACTCTTTTCACTGATATGGAATGATTAGCTAAGAACTCCCAGGTCTCATTACTCTGCTGACTTTCTCTGTATTTTCAGATCAGAGAGAACAATAATAGTTTTTTTGGCAATTAGGGTAAGCCCTGATACAGTAGAGTTTAGTGGAACTTACTGAAATAAGAGGAATAAGTATTGTAGAGTTTTCTTCTTTTTTTGAATCTCCCCAGAGTTGTAGTAATCAGAAGGGGTTTTAGAGTTTTTCTATAGCAGCAGTATTGTCTGGAAACATTTTTCAGACTAATCATGTAATTTGTTATGAGCATAAGAAGAAGTGGAGGATATGTGTAAAAAATGTAGGGCAGTCTTTCTCCTGGATTTCTCAGTTGTTGAACTGGGAGAAGACAGTCATTACCAAATTGTAGCACAGGAAGCACATTTAGTCACACATTGGTCCAGTGTTTTATCATTATTGTAATTATTATTGCATACATGTATTCTTAAAAGAAAATATTGCTTTAACAGGAGTTTGTACGGCTGACAGTCTCTGACACGATGACAACATACATCACAATTCTAATTGGTGATTTCTTGAGAGCTGTCTTTGTTAGGTTTTTCAATTACTGCTGGTGCTGGGACTTGGAATATGGATTTGTAAGTATCTGATTTGCTATTTTAACTGTCCTTGTCAGAACGTCACTCACATGCATAAATACTGATAAGTGTGTACTTAATTTGTTGCTCATATTCAGTGTACTCAGTGCTTGCAGCTAGAAAATATTCATGAATTAAAAAGAGACTGGTAAATGGGGTGAGTGAAGACATGGAAATGTCACTGAAATCTATGAATGACACTTGCTAATACGAATAACTAAGTTAGGAAGCCAACATTACATTTTCGCTGTATTGGGTCCATGGTGAATCACTGCTCCTAGAATGCACACTCCAGTGCTAAAACACATAGATTTTATACATTTTAGCATGTGAATATTCACACTATTTCTGTGAAGTACCCTCCTATTCCTAAAATTGCTATGCATATTAAAATATAGTACTATGAGCGTATTTTGTTGAATTCTCACAAGGCATTTAATTAATTAATTAATTCTTCAACAGTGCAATTTCTAAATTTAAAATATAAATATAGTTCTGTCATTTGAAAAGGAATTAAATCTGAGCAGCCCCTTTTTTGGGGTGGGGGGCGGGAGAGGGCGGGGGATGGATAGGGTACTGCCAAATCTTGATTTCACTCCAGTGGATAAAATAGGGATTATTGTTTTAAAATTTATCCAATACCCAGAGATCTAATTTTCCATTAGCATCTTCTAAGCAAAGAAAGAAAAACAAACATCAATAAAATTCTGCAACCAGTATTAAAATCTATCTGTTGGCCTTCAGCCATCTTCATTTGTCTCATTATTCACTGATAATATGCAATGAACATCTTTACAACACAATGCAAGTATTACACTGCTGTTGGAAGTGACAGTTTTAATCTAGATAAACCATTTCAGAAGCTTCTGTGCAAATTTGATGAAAGCATTTGTTATTTCTTTCAGCCATCATATTCAGAATTTGATATAAGTGGGAATGTGCTCGGACTGATATTTAATCAAGGCATGATCTGGTAAGTGTGGCAATGTGTGCTATGTCTGTAATGTGCCTCTGTGCATTAGCACTCACTGCAGTACTGCAGGAATTAGCAGCATGTGTGAAATGCCAGTTTTTCTCATTGATTTAATTTGATGCTAGTGTAATGCAGTACTCCAATACAGGGAAATAAGTGGGTGTATTTCTAAAGTAGTTCTGTGCTGATATTCTGAGTCCAGATGAATCAGACTTTTGTAGAGTTTTGCAGTAAAAGGCTGGGTGAAATCCTGTCTTACTGTTGATTGTTTTCCAGTCATTTGAATGCTTTGAAACTGAAATATCCTCCAGTTTATTTCAATGCATCATGTGCAAAAGTGCCTTAAATATACATAGTATTATATGAATGTGAGTGTGTATCAAATGTTCCTGCTACAATAGTAGTGAGTAGTCCTCAAGGAAAGATCTAAATTTCATTCCATTCTTGGAATGTAGCTGAGGGGTAAAGAACATCTATCCTCATATTAGATGCTGTGCCTTCTTCAGAACTGCCCTCCTCAAGTGTCGCTGACTTCTTAATTCTTGCTAGGGCCTTGCTTTTTGCCTTTAACAGTACTCTGTGGATTACAGTTTTTGCTTGAGTAAAAATTCTCACTTCTGTAATTCCCATGGGGTTGTTTTATTAATTTATTTTTGGCCTGTACAGAATGAACAGAGCTGTACATACCTCCTTCCTGTGCATGCACAGGCTTAGTCCTTCCTTGGACACCGCTAGAAATGAGGAGAGTGCTCCGTTTCCAGCTTCTGAGGAAGTGAGTTTTTGCTGGCACCATGCACTCCCACTACACCTCTCCTTCTCAGGCTTCTCATCCCAGGGTCCAGCCACAGCACCACAGAAGCTTATCCCTCTTGAGCAACCTGAGTACGTCCTTGGTGGTTCACATGGTCCCTGGATTTAGGCTGGTTCCAGCATGGATGTGGTGGCAGAGGAAGGGCTGAGTACAGCTGTGCAGCTGAAGGCAGCTCTCTGGGCTGAGCTGGACCTGGACACACCTCACAAAGCATTACAATGGCTCTGTTCTTACTTTCAGTAGAATGGGGGCTTCATAGAATCTGTGACTTGTGTGTTTCTAATGTCATATTGATATAGAATCTTTCTTCCTGCTTACTGATTCTTGCAGATTGACGAACTGAATACATCAAAACAGCAAAAAAATTTGACCAAACAGTAATGAACATTCACTGCCAAAATCATATTTACCATTAATACATACATAGGATACATTCATTTCTGTTTTGTCCTGGTGTCACAAATTCAGTTTTCACAAATTCATGCTCATCTGAAACATAATAAAAAAAGCCTCAGGTGCAGTTATAACTGCCACTAAAATAGAAGGGATGAGAGATGTATGTGTGCATTATTTCTGTAGATGAGATAGACCATGAAAAGCTCCTTTATTCTCTTTCTCTGTGTATTCACAAAGTGATTGGGATGCAAAACGTTTGCAAGTCTTCTCTATATCAAAAAGCTACTGGCAAGTTTTTGTCTACCTATAAGAAGTGTCATACCTAAAAAATAAAACTATATATTACTAAAAATGTAGATTACTGAGAATCTTCTTGATATTGAAGAGTATATTGCAATTGATTTCCATGTGGGTAAGGAGTAAGGCGGGCCATGAAGTACTCTCTGTCTTCAATCATAGCTGTAAAGCCTTTATCTTTCCTTTTCACTGAATATACATGAAAGAAAAGGGAAATGTTAATATCATGTATTCTGAAATGACATCTCTGTAGTCTAGATGTAGTCAATGTAGCAAAAATAATTTCGTCCTAAAGTGGTGCCAGTATATTAAGAAATATATAAGGAATAAACTAGATCATTATTATGGTAATACTTAGCTTTTGTGCTGTGCATGTTTATGTAATACAACCTAAACTGACCTAATACTACCTAAACTAACTGTACAAGGTAAGTGAGTAACATTTCATTAAGTGATCTCATTTGCAGAGAAAGATGATTTTGGAATTTTGAAACAAAAACTGCATATGGAGAATTCTGTCCGTGTGCCTCCGGTATTTCTTAAAGCAAGGAGAGACAAGACCATTACAAAAAAAAAAAAAAAAAAAAAAAAAAAAAAGTGTCAACAAGGTTGTATGAAATAATGCAGTGTACATGAATGCAAAGCAGAATGAAGTAGGGAACAGGCGGTATATCCTGGCAGAAGTTCTAGCAGAAAATGTTCTAAGATTGTGGGTTTTTTGCTTTTTTTTTTCTAGGATGGGGTCTTTTTATGCTCCATGTCTCCCAGCAATCAATGTGTTCCGACTCCATACTTCAATGTACCTGCAGTGCTGGGCAGTGATGTGCTGCAATGTTCCCCAGGAGAGAGTCTTCAAAGCCTCCAGATCAAACAATTTCTACATGGCCATGTTGCTTTTCATTCTCTTTCTTTCTACACTGCCTGCTGTGTACACCATTGTCTCCATTCCACCATCTTTTGACTGTGGCCCTTTCAGGTTTTTTGAGTTTTATATACGTCTTTTGCTAATGATATGATGTACTGCCTCATCAGTGAATGATCCAGTAATGAAAATAAGCTTCCTTAATAAGTGATAGCACCTGATATGCTGAATTTTTATTGTGTGGCATTTCTTAGTGTAATGATTCTTGAAGCTGGAATCCAAGAAAACTGGTCAATTATTTAAAAGATTTTTTTTTTATTTTTATTTTTTGAGTGTAGAACAGAAAATCTTTTCTTTTAGTTGGCTGTAATGTAAACATTTGTTGTTCTTGCTCTAATTAAGCCAGAAATTGTTCTTGAGGAGTAGAGCAGTTGCCAGTTACGCCACTGTGGTCTTCTGGCTTGAGCGTGGTGATTTTCAGTAAATGTCTATGTATCCCTTGTAATAGTGACATGATAGAATGTATACTGGTGCTGCAGCTCAAGGTGGTGGTACAATATTTGAGTGCTATGACATCTCTAGCTGACACTATATTTCATGCTTCTTTATTTCCACTGGGGTCCTGAATATGCTCCCTGAGTTCTCAAGACTTCTGTATTCACTAGTCTTTTCTAAATAGTTAGGTCTGCTTCATGAGTGCAAACGTGTGCTTTCTATTCAAGCTAGTTTAAATATAGCCATACTTTCAATTGGAAAGTTCAGGACCATTTTCAGCATCTTTAATTGGCACTTAGCATGACATATGATTTTAATGAGCACACAATATGTGAAATTCTGATTTTGGTTTATTTTAGTATATTCATTTAGCCACTTGCATTTGTCACAGTGACCTAAAGGGATAATAGTGTGACATTCTGAAGGTTTATTGAGGCATAATCTTGCTTAAATTTTACAGAAGTGATGATAACAAAGCAAATGGTGCAAAGTGAGGTTTCTTATTATTTGAGTCACAGCGTAGAGCCTGGCAGCATTCATCCAAGTACTGAAGCAGTTAGTGGATGTTTTTATCAATGATTTAGCAATGATCTTGGAAGATTAGAGAGATGCCTGCCTGCTGGAAGCTGAACAGTGTTATTCACATAAAGTATATGAGAGAAAACCCAGGAAAATATGGACCTGCTACTTCAACTGCATTATATGGGAAAGTTATGGAGATTATTATGGGTTCTAGTGTGAAAGATGCTTACAGAATTTTAAGTTTTAAATAGTGCCAAATACAGGTTTTTTTGTCCTTTTGCCCAGATTTGGCGTGATATGTTTTATTTATAAATGCGTGCTCCTGTATTAACATTGCCAAAATATTTTTATTTTTCACATATTTTCACATTTTCTGTTTAATAGTGGGAAAACAAGAATGTTTGAAGTCATATCAGAAACTCTGGAGCATGACTTCCCTTCTTGGTTTGGGAAGGTATTTGGTTATGCCTCTAACCCTGGACTCATCCTACCTTTTATATTACTGATGGTGTACGTATAGAATATTAACTGACATCTTGCTTAATACTTAATGAAAAGTCTGTTCATATTCTTTTACTCTGAGTTCTTATTGCTTAAGCAGAAGAATTCAAGTCTTCTATTTGGTCATAATTAATGTACTTTTCCACAGACGATGATCTCTTCAGCTTCACCTTTCTTCTTTTTTTTTTTAACGGAAAAATCCAAATCAAAATGCAAAGGGCTATGGAATTTGAAGTGTTGTGACCTTGATCAGCTTGTCCAGGAGGTAGAACTACATCTCATAAATCCTTAACAAGTTCAGTACAAAGTTATTAGAATGCTGGTTACCAAGAAGCTGAACTATTTCTCATTAACATTGTGTGTCTGATCTTGAGTGCCAGAGCCCTTCCTTGATAAAAATTGTACTCTTTGAGATGGAATTGAAGGGAGAGAGAGAGTTAGAGAGATATACAATAGAGATGTTCCAGTCACAAGTATATTTCTAAAATTCTCTTATGTTCAATTTCTTGTTACGGATTTTTAATAGGTCTGTAGCAGATAAAGAATAATGAACCTGAATAGTGTTTCTCAAAGACTGTATTGAGTCCTTGATAAAGGTATTTTAAACTAATGCACATACATAAAAATTTTTTTAGCATACTGAACTAAAAGCAAATTCTAGGTACAAATGGACAGGGGCTTACCCTACACTGTGGAACTGCCAGGAACACAATGAGACTACAGAATGGAACAGAAATTGCACAAGGTTTTCACATGGAATAAATGAGATTATGAGATGAAAGTTTAGGAAGATTCACTTAGTGCTTCAACCTGTTTAACTCTTAGCTAGAAAAGCAAAGGGACTAAATTGTCCTCTGAACTATACAGTTTGTTCCCACTGAATTATTCTGAGTGCAATTCCTATCTTGCTATGGGACAAGGTGAAAATAAAAATAAAATTTAGGGGGTTGGGGGAAAGAAGGGGAGTGAATAAATAATATTTTAAGCAAAATCAGGAAAAGTGGTGAAAATAAGACATGAAGATTATTTGTTTCCTACTTCAATAAAAGATTTCCTATCAGAAATCCGTTAATTAAGGTAGTAAAAAATAATAATCTCATAGAGTCATTATGAAAGGAATACAATTCATTAAAAAGTGAAAATTCACTATGTAGTGGTATTATTGTTTAATAGAATGAGGTTGTGATTTAGATCAAAAATTAAAAGTTATGATTTTGGCTATTTTTCTGCCAGTACTTGAGCTTGTCTGTTGTATTAGTTTAAGGACTCTTCTAAGTATGGTTTACTCGTTTTTAGAGTATGTCATATAAGGTAATTAAATTTCATTGAATAACTTATTTAACTTTAGTCACTGGAACATGCCTCATAGTGAGGCGTAGCCTGATGCACAATTTACCTTAGCTGCCATATTTATTTCTGTTTTTTAAAACATTATTATTGTTATTATTTCCTTTGAGATAAGTATGCCTTCTTCATATTCCATTGTTCAATGTCAAAATACTTGTTCTGATTAGGCCTCATAAATGAGGAAAAATACAGTTTTGGTATTAGCACAACTACAGTTATTGGTATAGGAATTTTGCAGGAATCTTTTTATTTAAACTATTATCTAACAAGATATATTCTTTTTCTTTAAATTTAGCCTGAGTATTTATTATCTTAATGCTACATCCAAGTCCTACAAGGAAGCTAACCTGGAACTTAAAAAGAAACTACAAAGTGTAAGGAATCGGGAATTGTTATTTCTTTTTATTACAGTTGTTAGAGAATACATTCAGGTTACTGAAAGATGCCCTCTCTATCTCTCCATCATTAGCAAGCAGAAGAAAATAAAAGAAGAAATAAACAAAAGGCGCAAAAATCAAATGAACAAGAGGAAAATCCATTTGAGACAGAGCCACCACAGTCAAAGCAAAAAGAAGGCAAGCAAGATGAATCTGCTGCAAATCAAGGTAAATACAGATTTAAATTTCTCAAGATGAGGAATACTTGCACACTGGATCATAGGCTTCTTCTCTACCTTAACTACTCCTTTGCCATAATATCTATAAAAAATATTCACCATACTGCATGACAAGTGTTAGCCAATCCATTTTTCTTTCTTTGGATCATTTAAGAAATACCATAATATCAAGTTCAGTTGCAGTGGGAGAGATTCTGATTTTTCAGTCCCTTCCTGCCAAACCAAAAGTTTGAGGGCTGTGAGGCAAGCAGTTATCAGAGAAGAGTGAGGCAAAAAAAATAATTGTTAAGAGAAGCTCAGCCTTCTCTTTGTCTGTTATTAACAGCTTGCTTGTATCACTCAAGAGGGGGGATACACACTCCTGGACTTTCTTTTCCTGACTGAGGTACAGGGACTGTCCTGTTTCTACTCTTTTCCTGTCTCATGTCCCTCCAGAGCATGAACTCAGCCTTAGGCTGTTCACTACAGCTCAAGCAACCTCCAATCCTGATGTCACCAGTCAGTTCACTTGCACTGGTGAGCAACAGGTGCAGTATTGCATTACCCTTGGTTCAATTACTTGACTTAGGGAGTTATCCTCAATGCATTCCAGGAGACTCCTGGATTGCCTGCAGCTCACCATGCTATTTTTCCAGATGTCGGGGTAGTTAAAGTCCCCCAGGAGGACAAGAGCTTGTGATCACAGTGCCTGCTGTAGCTGGAGGTAGGACCTCATCAACAGGCTCTGCTTGGTTGGGTGGCCTGTAGTAGACACTGATGCAAGGGTCCCTTTGTTGCATCAGTCTCTGTCATCCATAGCTTTCAACTTGCTTGTGACTATTCTTTAGAGACAGCTCTTCACATTCTATTCCTTACATTCTTGAAATAAATTGAACATTATATATCAAGCACATCAAGTATCTCAGACCTGTGGTAAAGCACCGGTGGGGGTGGAGCAGGCAAGGATGATTTTAATTTGCAACTTTGATAGCAGATTTGCTTCCATCCTCTCCTTTCATTTGTATTCTTGCCCCCAGCCTTTCAATTTTTTTCCACAGCCTGATGTGATACAGGCTGCCTTGGGTTTTGTGTTTTTTCCTTCAAATAACCTGTCTGTGCATGGGTAAATAGTGGTTTCCCTGTTCCTTCTGTTTGTCCCCCATGACACCTTTTAATCTATATATTTCATCTTGCAGCCTGGGCACAAGGCAGAGCAGATCTACTTATAGCTCACACAGCTGTTGGAGCTTTGGGCCCTAGACTTTCCATCATATTCTGGAATAGATAATGTGCTACAGATTTTCCCTCAGAGAGATTTTCTGCTCTATATTTTCATTCCTTAACTCTGTTCTCCTAACACATTTCAGATAACAAGAAAGAACAGAGTGGCAACGAAGCAAAAAAAACAGGTCAGCAACAGGAAGGAAGTTCCTCTCAGGCACCACAGCATCCAGGCACTGCCCCGAATGGCCACAATCCACCACAGGGCAGAGGAAACTTTCTTCCCCCACCCATTGCTGTGACTCGGCCACCAGGGCCACGAGGGTATGCGGCACCAGGCTATCTACCTGGGCACCCACGCTTTCCAGGGGTACAGCCAGGAATGCCCAGGGGACCTCCCCACTACAGATAAGGAAGCTGTCTGTCCTTTTCTGGTATGTTATAAGATACAGGACACCAAGGGAGACAGGAGTGATCTTGACTTGCAAAAATACTCCTTGAAGTACAGAACTCTGTTCTATTTATTATAAATCTTCATCTGCATATTCATGTGCTTCATTTTTTTGTGGGATGGAAATTTCCGGCAGAAAAAAAAAATGCATCTGTCTACTTGCTTTTAAAGATATTGCAAAAAATGTGTTAGCTGTGTCAAAATGTCACAAAACTTAAGGTATGTATTGGAAAATATTATTGGGAAAATAAAAAATATTTTGTATTTTGTTGGTTGTTTTCTTAAAAGCTTGCAAGAGCGTCTCTGATACCATTTTCTTTTCCTCAAACATGTTTGCTGAGAACATAACTTCTTAATGTATTGGAGTCAGCTATATTTAAAAACTGCATATGGCTTGACCTCTGCAATTGAGTTATGCTTACTCAAAGAGTTCTGATTTTGCATGATGAAACTCTGATCGTTTCAGAAGTTTGGTTATTATCTCTAAAGACTTTGGGAAATTATTCCAGAGGTAAAAGAAAAGCAATATTTTGCTATGAATAAAATTTAACTCCTATTGCAGTACCACTTTTAGCTAATACAGCAATAATGAGTTTTATCATATTCTGAAAGACTAAATATGAATTAAAATAATAAAGTGGTGAAGAAGTATTTCCTATGCACATATATGCAAATATGAATTTGAGGAATATAGGTAAGACTGTTACTCCATATTTTTCTCCTGATACTTACCAGGATTTTGTTATTGCACAGAGACATTTATTACTGTATAAGAATATACGCTATCGATCTGATCAGTGAATTTATTAGTGTAAATGTGTATTGACATCTAGATCCTTAGTGTGACGGAGTGGTAGAAACACAGGATAGATGCATGTTCATTTGTAAACTGTTGTTGCTTATTCCAAAGAGACAGTCGTATTTTTATGTTCTGATTTTATTAAGCTGTTCAGACTTTGGGCTTTGGTACTTATTTTAATACTCAGAAGATAAATAACAACTCTACAGTCTATAGACTGTCTTCTGAAAAATAAATGCAATTCTACTGGGGATTTTCTGTATAAAATGGGTCCATTTTGTACCATAGAAAAAAGTTTATCAGAATACCGCAAGTCTGTGGTATCCACCCCCCTCATCCCCCCCCCACCCCAAAAGAAAAAGAAAAAGAAAAAAAAAAAGTCAATTTAATCAGATTGTGGAACCTATCAAAAAAAGATTTACATAAAACTATAGGGTCTGCATATCGCCATAAAACATGGTCAGCCAAATGCACATTCCAGCTCAAGCAGTCTATAAATCAATTGCCAGAAGCTAGAAGGATAAACTAAAAAAAAGTTCATTCTATACTTAATTCTTGCACTGATTCTGTAAGCATCTGTTATCAGCTAGTGATAGGACATTAGATCAATCAGATCTTTAGCCAGCGTCAGCATGGCTGCCTTGTGTACAAACACAAAACAGTGCTAATTGAATCAAGAGATAACTGCATTGCAATAAGCACATGAGAAGGTCTTTCCTAGAAGACAAACTGGAATTGCATTTGCTACTAACTGAGTGGATAAATGGGTTAAGAGTGGATCCTAAGGAAGGTATGCATCTGGGCTACAGTGATTCTGGTAATTTAAATTACATAAAGTACAGCATTTCATTTCATTTCATCTTTGGAAGACAAGATTTTTAATCTATTTTCAGAAAGTATAGAAATTCAAAGCTTTAAAAATGTGAAATATTCAAATATTAAATCTGAACACACTTTCAGTCCAGAAATACATTAGATTGTAAGCTAAAAGTAAGCCTCATACTCTAGGGTTTTGTCTCATCCATGGGTTTAAAACGAGCTTTTTCAAAAAACAAGGAAATGTTTGTCATGAGATATTAGTTTGAGAATTTTACACCTGCCACAAACATTCATATAAGAAAACATTGAGTTTTCCCTAGAAAAAAGAAGATGCTATCTGCAATCAAGGCCATGCATTACATTCTTGTTTTAGAAAAGGTGGAGAATTTTAAATATTCTTTGTGAAATGGTGATCCATACAAAGGAGAAAAGATAGAATAGGTTTTCAAGGTTGCTGAAATAAGAGTAATAAACTTGTTATGAAGCAGGCTGGTTCCATGAAACACACAGGCCTTAATAAGGATGTCTAGTTCCTTCAGGAGTGAAAAATTTCTGCATGTCTTTTGCTTAGTCTTTAAGTCTGTGGAATTGTTTTGCATCATGAATGGAAAAAAGAGAGTCCACATGCTAAAACTGTTCTGTTACAGTGATACATATTTTCAACAATATTTTCAACAACAAATGTCTTCTCAGTGTGCATCTGAAAAGGCAGGGATTACCGTGAAACAGCTAACATGAATAACAGTAACAAGGATGGATGTTTCTTATGTCTTGTGATCAGCATCAAGATGCAGTGACAGTAAATAAAATATTTATTCTTGTTCCTTAATGTACCTAAGTGAAGACCTTTACTCACTGTTTTATGAAGCTTTGCTTTCAGTGTTTTCTAGCTTAGTTCTATTTAGTTGATTGACATCTTATTAATAAAATAAGATGGATTTAACAGACAAGATCTGATATTATACCTTTCAATATTCAATATTAAATCCACATTTAGGAAAAGATGTTGGTTATTTTTTAAAAGTAACCTGAAAGTGTTTTAAAGTTCATTTCCTTTCTGTAAATCCTTTCTCCAACCCTTCTATATTTTGAGTCTTTGATTCAATTACTTCACCTCCACTTTTTTTTTTTTTTTTTTTTTTTTTTTTTTTTTAAAGCTGAGCATGTTCAGCTTGGAGATAATAAAGTTTCTGGAAGGCTTTGTTGCAGCCTTTCAGCATCTAAGGGGAACTTATAAACAAGATGGAGATCAACTTATTACATGCTCTAATAATAATAGAACAGGGGATAATGATTGTAAATTAAAACAGGAGAGACATCTCCCTAAATTGCAATGATACACAGGAAAATCATGCATCTTGGTTAACAAAACTATGAAAAAGATATTTTTTGTATGACAGTAAGTTTTTTTCTTATTACCTAACGGCTGACAAGACTGTATCATAAATTACATAGATTCTGATGGCAACTTGTATCATATTTGAGTAGAAGCATTCGCTGTTGAGTATTTACTTGTATTTACATTATTAGATTTTAAGTTCATTTAGAGAGCCAAAAGATGTCTGGCTTTAGCAGTAATAATTCACGGAAAAAATAAATATCAGATCCCTAAATGCCCAGGGAGCATCTGAACATCTCTGTCTTGTAGTTCAGTGATCTGAATAATTTATCGTGTTTAGCATTAGATTTGAAAAAGAGTATTTCAGCTGCAATGCAGAGTCACAGAAAGCTGTGAGTCACATCTTGCTGAAATGTTAGCAACAACAACAACAGCAAAAAATAAATTGTACATTGAACATAACAGCTTATCTGAAGCTTTTTTGTTGTTCTTGGCTGTTGGAAGATATTTCACGTCTTTGGTTGGATAATATCATAAGTACGCACACTAAAAAAAATATTGGCTATTTGGAAGTTGTACAGGCAAGACTTTCCAAACCTTGTTGTTAATTTTAATAAATAAAAGACCTTTAGGTCTTTATTATCATGAGTACATTTATATCATGCAGTAACTAATGATATTTGCAATAAATTCTATTTATCACTTATCTTTTGTCTTTTTTGTCCGCCCGTTTCCAACTCTTCATGGCTGCAGGCAGAACTTTCAATACTTCAAAATTTAAAATCATTGTGAGTAACCATAGCATTCTCTCCCTCTCTTGCCTGGAATTAGATTAGAAAAAATAATCCAATATGTAATCTGTAGTCAATAATCTCATATCACTAGAACAGGAATAGAAATATTTTAATTGGACAAATTTAAATTACTAAATCTTAGACCAAACAGTTTGCAGTCAATGTAAACTCTCTTCACTAAAGCTGTTAATCAATTTTTTTCTCACTACAAAATTGCACCTGTGCTCCTTAGAAGTGATCATCTCTGCAAAAATAAAGCTATTCTTCTGCAATCAATTAACCAAAAGAGAGTTAGACGTGTAACAAAACACCAAACCTTATTTTAAATCTCAAATAAGGAATGAGTCTCTTGGTTGTTTTTTTGTTTGTTTGTTTGTTTGTTTTTGTTTACTAGATAAAGCCTTTTTAAAAATCTAGATAAATCTTGACTAGATAAACTCTTCAAAGGAAGAAAGAAGTAAATGTTAACAAAAAAAAAGAGAAAATTTAGTAAGTTTAAGGAAACACTTTTAAAGTCCTTTCAGAGATTCTCAAGGCATGGGGGCTAAACCTTCAATAAGACAGTGTAACCCACTGTGAGGATGCTATCAAGCTAATATCACAGAATCATGGAACTATTGCAATTGGAAGGTACCTCTAGAGATTATTGAGTCCAACTCCCCTGCAAAGCAGGCTTCCTACAGCAGGTTGCATAGGTAGGCAGGGTCTTGAACATCTCAGAGAATTCACAATCTTTCTGGACAGCCTGTTCCAGTGCTCCATCACATTCACTGTGAAGAAGATCTCATCACATTTGTACACTTCCTATGCTTCAGTTTGTGGCTATTTCCACTTGTCCTACTGCCACACAACAGTGAGAAGAGTCTGGCCATGTCTCTGCCTCCAACACCTTAGATATTTATGACCATTGATCAGATCCCTTCTCAGTTTTCCTATCTCAAGGTTGAACAGACCCAGGCCTTTCCTCATAAGGGAGATGCTCCAGACCCTTGATCACCTTCGTGTATTTTCACTGGACTCTTTCCAGGAGATCCCTGTCTTTTTTGTACTGGGAAGCCCAGCACTGGTGAGGCATGGTGAGGGCAGAATAGATTTGGAGAATCTCCTCCCTTGATCTGTTGGCAACACTCCTTTTAATGCACCCATCGACCTCCTTGGCAACCATTGGCTCATGGCCAATCTGTTGTCCACCAGGAGGCCTAGGTCCACCTCCACAGAGCTCATCTCCAACAGGTCATCCCTCAATCCATACTGGTGCATGCAGTTATTCCTCCCCAGGTGCAAGACTCTACGCTTGCTCTTGTTAAACCTCATCTGGTTCCTCTCTGTCCAACTCTCCAGCCTATTCAGAACTCACTGAATGGCATCACAGCCTTCTGATTTGTTGGCCATTCCTTTCAGCTTTGTATCATGTCTCACTCCAATTTATAGGAGGGAGAGGAGGTTCTTTTAATATAACATACCAGGCGTGAGGTTAAGAAACAACAGCTCAGATGTTGGTCCAACCAGTTT